CAATAGTGTTGTGTTCTAAGGAGTTTTGAAATTATTATTTTTTTTTGTTACGAATTAAAGTGCACGGTTTTTTTTCTTCTAAACATATATTTTATTATTAATCGTTCAACAATTTCAATAAAGCTCGCCTTGAAATTCCTCAAATGATATTTTTTTCCAGAAAAATAATGAATCGACTGTAAATTGCGGACGAAGCCTCCTGGTTCCCTTTCATAAAGCGCGATTTTTGATTCAGAGATTATTAAAAAAAATATTTAATTCAAGACCTCACACTTATCATCCCTCGTGAAGATAATAGAAATAACAAAATTTTCACTTTTTCTGTTACACTTTATCAATTCTAAAACTATACACGCGAGCAAAAGTTTGGAATCACTTACTTGAAATTGGATCCGCGCGATCTTGCTTACTAAATAAATTTTTAATTATTATAAAAATCACATCATTTTAAAGGTTTAACTGTCAACTTTAAATTGATACCAAATTCATTCAAATCGAGCCAGTAGTTAAGGAGCTATCCCGGATTAAGTGAAGGAGGTAGGAAAAAAAGGAAATATGGAAAAATAATGAATGAATAAAACAACAAAAATTCATAAATAAAAATTTTATTTAGCCTTAAAATTAAATGTCAGTATTTTGTGTCCCCTTCCCTTGCCCTAATAACTCCTCGAAGACGATTCTTCATAGACCTGATCAGCTTTTGAATTGATTCTTGTGGGATACCTTCCCACTTCTCAATCAACGCCGATTTCAGCTCATTCAGGCATGAAGGAGCAGAAGTTCTGGAACGAACCCTATTCTTCAGTTCATCCCACACGTGCTCAATAGGATTCAAGTCAGGGCTGAGCGCAGGCCAGTCCAATGTGGCGATATAGACTTCTTCGAAGTATTCAATTGTTCCACGGGCAGTGTGACAACGAGCGTTATCGTGCTTAAGGAGGAAGTCACCACCGTCATATCCCGCATAGGAAACGACATGTTCCAGCAGAATATTGGAAATGTACCGGTCCGAAGTTAGACCGCCTCCTCGTCCCCCGCCAGGCACGAAAACAAGCTCGGTTTTACCATCGAAGGAAATGCCGGCCCACATCATACAAGAGCCACCCCCACGAGCCACTGTTTCAGCGAAACAGCACTGCGCAAATCGCTCCCCAGGCCGCCTGTAGACCTCTTCGGTCGCTATCGTGCAAACACATCCTGCTCTCGTCGGAGAACAGGATTTGCCTCCATTGCTCAATCTCTCAATTAAGATTGGTACGAGCAAACTGAAGGCGTGCTTGTCGGTGAGCTACTGTGAGTTTCGGGCCTGTGACAGGCCTTTTTGGAGTCAGATTCGCTTGCTTGAGTCGTCGACGAACTGTCCACTTGCTGGCTGCTACCCTACGAAAATCTTGGAGCTCCTGTTGGACGTCGACACCAGGTTAATGCCGATTTCAGAGAGAGGTTAACACGATAAAACGGTCATTCCTCTCCGATGTGCCCCGGCGCCGTCCAGATCTTGGTCTTGGGATAAATCTACCAGTCTCCTGAAAGCGCTTGCAAACTTTTGAAACACAGGACTGGCTTATTTGGAGCCGACGAGCGACAACCCGCTGGCTGAGCTCTTCTTGCAATAGGGCTACGATTTGTGCTACTTCTGTAGGTATTGTCCCAATTGTCGTACAAGGTAAAGGGTCAAAAGTAGCGGAGATATGTACCGGTCAACGTGTGAAAGTCGACTGATAAAGAAAATCCGATAACAGGTGCTTTTATAGGGGTCAATAGGCCGCAACTCGCGACGTATCAAATAATTAAAACACGTCTTTTTCGTTATTCCTTTACTTAATCCAAGATAGCTTCTTAAATACTGGCTTGATTTTAATGAATTTGATATCAGTTTAAAGTTAAGAGCTCAACCTTTAGAATGATCTCATTTTTATGATTATCAAAAAAATATTTAGTACACAAGATCGCGCGGAACCAATTTCAAGTAAGTGATTCCAAACTTTTGCTCGCGAGTGTAGTTAGTGTTCTTTTCATTTATCGAGTACGCGCTTAAGGAACTATGGACATGAGACAGACATGTGCTAAATGGTTATGTTTATTTACTACTACTACTAATTTATCTACTGAGAGGACTGCTCTTTTTGTCAGAAAATTTCGCGAAACAAATTTGAAAGTTAGGCATTCATTATTTGTGTTTTATTAATCAGAAATATACTATTAGAAACTTAATTAATTACCGAAAAATGGGATAAAGACGTGTTAGAAAATATGGCTCTCATAAAAAAAAATTAATAATCACGATATTACGCACTCTTTATTTATTTAGGTAGAGGTGGCATGTTACAAGAGAATGATAGCGACTTAGGTTAGTAGGAAGTTAAGAAAAAAATTAGAACATTTCATGCTTTTTATAGTTACGTTTTTTATACATACAAGTTTTATTAAAATTATCGGAAAAGTGATTCCTTTATGATTCATTTCTATGGTTAGGTTATGTACAGGTCTCTTACAATATTCATTTATTTGAGTGTGAATTCTCGATCTCTAGGAAGTCCTCAATATCTGTTAAAGGATAATTGGTCCTGGATGTAGGGGATTAGCGGTACTTCTAATGATAATAGATACGTGTCAGTAGTGATTGTGAATTTGCACAGTTTCACATGTACACAAGCAGAGGAAATGTCGTATGTGATAATCCTGCGAGAGAATATGGTTATGATGTTCAACTGTTCTCTTAATAATGGTAGATGTCCATTTGGGCAAAAACCGAGAAAACTGAAATATTTTGAAAGACAATTGAAATTTAGCCCACTGAGTTTCTCGCCGGATCTTAATGGATCGGAATTCCGACCCGGTGGTATATTCTGCGAAGCACCGCTCTTGTTGGGGCTAGTGTTAGCAAATTCTCTCAGATTGAGCCCTTAGCTCGCCTACCCATCCGGGCGTTGCTAGAATAGTCCCCTAAGCTCCAGCGAATAGGTAGGAAACAAAATTGAAACTGACTTGATTGAACCATGGTACCGTTTGAAAAGCCACATGAAAGGTTATTAATGATCGACTGTTAATCCGAACAAGTATACGATTAACATTGCGAAACAAATACTATCGACTTAAATTTGAAATTGTTATGGCCTATAGGATAAGACGTCCAGTGCATCTAATGATGCAACGGTGCTCAAATCCCGCAGGCAAATACCTAATTTCTCTAATAAAATAAGTACTTAACAAATGTTCACGATTGATTTCCACACAGTGAAAGAATAACATGGTGTAATATAAATCAAACCAGCAATATTATAATTTGTGTAAATATTGGTGGCAGGGGAGTCTTGTGATTCCGTACGGCTAGGTAACACCACCCTGCTTATTGCTGCCGTGAAGCATAATGCGTTTCGGTTTGAAGGGTGAGATCTTCTTACTTGTGTTTCAAGGTGGGTGGGTAGCGGCATTTACGTTATTGAAGTCTGTGGACTCCGGTAATCACTTAATACTAGATGGACCGTGAGCGTCTACCCAACTAAGTAATAAAAATATTTATTTGAAATCCAAAACAGGTTTCATAAATTTTTCATTTGAGATTTGCAAAAACAAATCCAACACTCACGACATTTGTTTTACTTTACCAGCTCTTTATTCTAGGAAATTAATATCATTATCTATTTATTATTCAAAGTATCCATTACTAATATCAATACTGCTCGTTGGCAATATGTGGGGGATCACATTCCAAAAAATACATACTTTTGCTCATTTTTACAACGGTATATCAGATGACTTCTTTTGTATTATGAGTTACGTATTTAATAACATTATTACAGAATGTAAACAATTTCTCGGCTCATTAAAGGAGCAGTAACTAAATACCTATTGGAGTTTGTGATTATTATTACTTACGCATGTTGGATTGACTAGCGCTGAGTGATATGCAATCGTCTTCGCTCGGATTGGATTCGCTCTCTGAGAGTTCGACTGCGATTATACGGATCTGCAGTTGACTGAGGTACTTCGGATTAGTTTTATTCTCCGAGATCCTGACCAAGGAAGACCTGTGAGTCCCAACACTGGTACACCATGCCTTTGGTCGTCGTGCTTAAAATAAAAAATAAACAAATTCCTCTCTAAAACTGAACATTAGTTTATTCCAGAAACATAGTAAATATTTCCGCTCATTAAACGTATACGTTCGAATTTTATTTTATTTAGTCAATTCTCTTACATATTTTTGGTTAATAGCTTTTCACTGCACGGAAAATTTATTTAATTCATATATATAGATAATAATATCAATTAGAACCTTAATGATATAGTTATGAGCTACGAAAGAGTCTCCCATCTCAGTGTATCAGTAAGCAAACATGGTATGTAGTTAACGTACTAAAACAACGAGTATATTTCACAAAGGTCAGCTTTTTCTGTTTGCTCGTTTACACTTGACAGCTGTTGATAGTACTTAATTTTAATAAAGCATATTGTAAATTAATAAGCCCGTTAGATAAATAATGTACTAAAGTACATTCACATTCACAGTTGAAAGATGATTACGCGTAGTGAGTCAGAGTGTATAGCACGAAATCTATACCATAAACAAAATATACATATTATACTTGATATATGAGGGGTCGTGCAATGAGCGAGTGCAACGAAACTGTGTTGTGAATGGCGCATACCTCTGCGATGTGTGGAGCACTGGATTGCGAGGGGGAGGGTAGCTCTGTGTTTGGTGGGTCGCCAGCGTAGTGACGAGGACGCGATGATGTCATCTCCGGCTCGAGCCGCCATTTTGATACTGATGTTATGTATAACCGTATGCGCCCAGAGTAAATTCAAATTATTATTTTTTATATTAAAGGGAGGTCAATGGACTTTGCAAACTCCGAGTTCACAGTGGAATCATTAATTTGTTTGCGTTGAAACATGGGTTGTAACGAATTTCGCTTAAGAATACGCTATGTTCGTAGTTGTAGGATGTAAACATTATGTGCAATTTGTATAAGTCGTGACGCTTCTCGCAACAGATCCTCAAAGGTACTCATCAGTGGGCTACCTCTGCATATCCGCTTCGATAACATCGAGCCACTGCTCTCACAGTATGGCAACGTGCAGCATTGCGACAAAGCCAACACCCGCGATCCCAACACCCAAGCGGTGTTCATCACCTTCGAGAGTCCAGAGCAGGCGCAGCAGTGAGTATTGTTGAGTGATGCATGCATGCGCTCGCACGATACTCGGAACTCTACTAAACATCTCAATATATTTGCTTGATTATCTTCTAACTCTGTTTGTTGACCTTTGTAAATGGTTTTTATAACAAATACTTGCTTAGTTGTCGTCCGCTGGATAAGTGTTACAGGTATCTAACAATTTACTAATAAATTACTAATTGCATGATATTATGTTAATGTTTTCATTATGAATAATAAGTATAAGTGTGGTTTTCATCTCATTTGTTTAGTTTTGTTGTATAGTTTTTATTTATATATTTCTAAACTTCAAATGGTTAGTACAGTCTATCCTTCTCTATTTAAATAAATTAGTCAAGAAACTGATGTATCAAATAGAAGTAGATTTAACTCCGTTAAAATTCTGAGCGTAAAACATTATTTAAAAAATGTATGTTTTATAAAAAAATAATTGGATGTCGCTCTCGCCTGCACATATGTGCATGGTTACGCCCAAGAATGTGCATTGTCAATGACATGTGGCATGATGATCCTGTTATTGTAACTTGCCAAAATGGCGGTTTGACACGACTACAAATGTGAGCATGTATGTACGTGATGTAACCCTCTCTATATACATACATATAACGTGGCTACAAAGACCAGAGAAGAAAACATTGCTTTGCATTGCTGTGATTGGAATGATCGCGTAAGTTAGTTATATTTGCTTCTACTAAATTATTCTGTGATTGACAATACGATTGAATCGAAGCATGATTAAATTTAAAGAAATAATTTAGGAGAAGGTTTTGGGTTTTATCATTCCGCATTTGTTACAGAGCCATAAACGGGTTGAATGGATGTGAATTGGAGGGTTGTCGTATAAAAGTGGAGGCAGCAGAGCAGAATGCTCGTGGAGGTCGTCGCGGTCGCCCTGGTGGCGGCCGTGGTGGAGGCGGCGCTGCTGGCGGTGGCTCGCGCCCCACCGACTTCCCACTGCGTCTGCTGGTGCAGAGCGACATGGTCGGCGCTATCATCGGTCGCCAGGGCAGTACCATTCGACTCATCACCCAGCAGAGTCGTGCTCGCGTTGACGTACACAGGAAGGATAATGTCGGCTCCCTGGAAAAAGCAATTACCATCTATGGGAATCCCGAGAATTGCACCAATGCCTGCAAGAGAATCCTTGAAGTAATGCAGCAGGAGGCCAATAATACTAATAAAGGGTAAACAAAACATAACAATAATTTAGCACAATTAATTTTATTGATACTTTATACGTTTTTCATTTACGGTTATGTTTTTAATTTTTTCAGCGAAATATGCCTGAAGATTTTGGCCCATAATAATCTCATTGGACGCATCATCGGCAAAGGCGGCAACACCATCAAGAGAATTATGCAAGAGACCGATACAAAGATCACTGTCTCCTCTATAAATGATATCAATAGCTTCAATTTGGAGAGAATCATAACCGTTAAGGGCTCCATCGAGAACATGGCCAAGGCGGAATCGCAAATTTCAGCCAAATTGCGTCAAAGCTACGAAAATGATTTGCAGGTACATACGTCGAACTGTACGCGAGTTCGTGTAAATAAAATAACACGACCTTAACGTTTATCCATGAAACGCCCCCTTTTTTCATTTAGCTATGAATATTAATGAGCGTTTGTCTTTATAGGTGCTGGCGCCGCAAAGCATTATGTTCCCTGGGTTGCACCCAATGGCTATGATGTCGACTGGACGTGGTTTCTGTGGAGCTCCGCCACCGTTCCAGCCGCCGATGTATGCGCCGCTGGCCGGCCCTGGGGCACAGCAGGGTGCCGGTGACTCGCAGGTGATCAAGCATTTGAGAACTATATATAGTGCGTGCGGAACTAGTTGGCCGCGCCTAGGGTAGCGACAGGGGTGGGGGGGGGGCTTGTCTACTGCTCGTAACGCACATGAGATTAGACAGTGATGACTAAATAAAAAAATGAATAAATGAAATAAATAACAATTGAACTTTTGGAAGTTTTTATTGTACATATCTAATTATATTGTAATTAATAGTAAAATAATCCAAAAAGAAATTAAGTATATGAAATTATTGTGACATATTTTAATAATATGCAATTATTTAATTCATATTATATACTTTATGAAATTACTCGTACATATCCTCTGAATCACTTGATGTTGAACTCTCTGAACTTCATTCAGAATCATCTTGTAAGTTCATAATTATTTCGTCCATCATAGTATCAAATCTCATATCAGTAATGACAGCAAGCGCTCACGCTTCTCCTTTCCACCGCATACCTAACAGCCTGGCCACGGGACATTCGCCGATACGAATATTCGCGCGGTGCGAACGGCGAAGCGTCTAGCGACTAAAACAAGCGCATAGAAATGTACCTAATAAGCCACGCGCACCGGCGACCGGCGAAGCGACCGGCGAAATGTACCGAGCGAATCGCGCGATGCGGCGGGCGAGCAAAACAAATGCATGAATACGGACGGCGCGAGCCACGGAGTCGAGCGGTAGTCGCGGCGAATAGTACAGTGATTAAATGAGTTTAGTTGTTTTCGCCGCGAAAAATGAACGCCGAAATTTTTATATTTTTTATTTATTTTTTATTTTATATTTTTAAAGTCGTCGTGGCCTAACGGACGTCCGGTGCAATCGTGTTGAGCGATGCACCGGTGTTCGAATATCAGGCGGGTACCAATTTTTGTAATGAAATACGTACTCAACAACACTCAACGTTCACGATTGATTTCCACGGTGAAGGAATAACATCGTGTGATAAAAATGAAATCTTCAAAATAATAATTTGCGTAATTACTGGTGGTAGGACCTCTTGTGAGTCTACACGGGTGGGTACTACCACCCTGCCTATTTCTGCCGTGAAGTAGTAATGCGTTTCGGTTTGAAGGGTGAGGCAGCCATTATAACTATACTTGAGACCTTAGAACTTATATCTCAAGGTGGGTGGCGCATTTACGTTGTGGATGTCTATGGGCTCCAGTAACCACTTAACACAAGGTGGGCTGTGAGCTCGTCCACCCATCTAAGCAATAAAAAAAAAATTGCTGAAATACTAGCTAGACCAGCTATTTGGAAGTCTAGCCACCCAAAGTATTTCTCGTACTTCTTGTGGAATTCTCCATCTTTAGGTATACTCCGATTCTTATTCAAATCATGTACTTCACAATATTTCCCAAATAATAGGTCCTGAACCAAAAAGCTATTAATTTGTAAGCAATATCGAGATAATTTCGATATAGACATTTCGCTGTCAGACTTCCTTACTAGTCGCGGCGGCGAACGTGAGTACCCGTGGCCTGCAAACGGTGCTGCGCGAATGGTCGCCTCGTCCACCGCTTCGCTGTTCGCACCGCCGATCCCCGTGGCCAGGCCGTAAGGCGCCGCCAACTAGTTCCGAGCGCACAATAATCAAATGGCATATACAAAATTTGTCTTGCTCACATTTAACATAATGTTATTCAATAACGTTATTCTGAAACTGTTGCATTATTTTAGGAAACAACCTATCTGTACATCCCAAACAACGCTGTGGGCGCGATTATCGGTACAAAGGGCTCGCACATTCGCAACATTATTAGATTCAGCAATGCTTCTGTTAAGATTGCGCCTTTGGAACAAGAAAAGCAACAGGAACCGCAGAACCCACAGCAAGAGCGCAAGGTTACCATTGTCGGCAGCCCTGAAGCGCAATGGAAGGTAAGATTATTAAAACAATAAGTTTGTACTCTGCTGGACGTTCTTTAGGCCTGCTCCAAAGTTCACTATGATGACCGGTTTTGCGTCGCCTCCATCCAGCGGATTCCCGCGACCTATAACCGATTGGACTGTCGAGGCGCGATGCCACCACCACTCTTTTTGATTCCTCACGTACATGTAGCGTAAAATCGATAATAAATATTTTCTCAAAACTTAAATTTCAGGCGCAGTATCTTATCTTTGAAAAGATGCGGGAAGAAGGTTTTATGTCTGGATCGGATGACGTGCGGCTGATTGTGGAAATTGTCGTGGCCTCGTCGCAAGTGGGTCGGATCATCGGCAAAGGCGGACAGAACGTGAGGGAGCTTCAGCGCGTGACCGGCTCGCTGATCAAGCTACCCGAGCAGCAGCAGCAGCCCGGCTCGCAGGGACAAGAGCACGAGACCACCGTTCACATTGTGGGCCCCTTTTATAGCGTCCAGGTATGAATGATCCAAGTGCTAATACAATTCCGTATGTCGTATCACTCTTGTCAGAGCAGTCTTGGTCTTCATCCAGCATCATTGGTGTGGGCAGATGTTATGCGCCTCACGAGCAATCGCCACTCCTCGCGGCTTGTGGTGAGCCTGGTACACTCATGCAAACAGCCGACTTGATCTGGTCGGTCCATCGCATGTTTTTTTATGATTGAAAGATTACTGGTAGCCCGAAGGCCTTTCCAGTTTCACCAGGACAGATGGGCGAGTGAGCAAAGGCTCTGCCAGGAGGGGTGGGATTTGCTAACAACTGTCCGAGCGGCTCCGGAGACCTAACAACTCTAGAGCAATTGCTTCGCGAATGAATCTACTACCGAATCGGAATCGCGACCCGCTGAGAAGATCCGGCGAGAAACTCAGCGGGCTGATGCATGAGTTAGGTTGCACGTCGACCTCTTTGTCGAGTTCGACGAGTACGGTTACCGAGGTTTTTGTTATGTATTCATGTAACATGTATTATAGTAAATGTACTTAGAACTTTATTTTTTATTTAATTTATTGTATTTAATTTGTTGTTTGAATTTTGTAACAGATGCACATTCGCGTTAAAAAGCCGACAATTTCAAGAATTGCCATTGCGTTTAGATTGACTAATGTCCGAGAAAAAATATGGAATATTAATATATTTCTTATCTCTCACTTTGCACTGTACATGTTCATTTAATCCTATTTTCATTAACGAAAACTGTATCGATAATATTGCAATTTAAAATAGAAAAATGACTTTAATTAATTTACCGCAATGGCTACATACGTGCACAAATCCACAGAACAGTGCCATTCAAAATTTTCACATACATATGAATACTAACGGTTGGGTAGTGAGTGTGTATTCTAGTTTCAAATTCAAAATGTGCCATTGTTTAATATCACGAGGCCCGAGCAATTTTCTCTCGCGATTGTCTATAATAAGTTTAGTTTATTATTTATATACATAATAATATGTACTTCTGAGTTTCTGAGTAATGTTCGCTTACGGCAAACAAAAGAAGATTATCGATTTGTACACTTTGATATAAACATCGTAAATCAACAGTTGAAGACAAAGAGAAATTTGATTTGTTTTTGAAGAAATGCGTTTCGTTGAGAAGAAGAAAAAACACAATCATGAATATAAACGAAAAAATTCAAAAAATTAAGGAATCGTCAAATTGTGTGTATTAAACAAGTTTTCGTTTCGTCTGAATACAAATTACAAGGCGTGTTGTGAATTATTTATAGTCTACTACTACAGTATAACTAAATCGAGACCTGGTATCAATCTTGATGATCAAGTACGGAATTTGTTTCGAATGAAGAAGCAATATTTATTAGAATTGAACGTTAAAAAGGGTTTGATAAAAACTCATAGCATAGAGTAATATTGTTATTAGTCTACATAACGAATTAAGTGGAGAGAAAAGAGTATCAACACGGGCTGGTGGACTCTAAGATGGATTAATGGCGACGCATTAGTTAAATCGAAGAATGGAACTATTAAACAACGAAGAATTTTTTACTCGAACCAAGATGTAATGTGAAACAGGTGTTTAAAATTCACTAAAAGACACATGAGTTTGTTCTGAACTTAAATTTTAGGTGCGTCTTAGTGGTTTAATATAAAAAAAAGCGTATTAAGTTAATGTACTTATTGTTTTGCATCGGGACTCGTATATTTAAATTTTTGATGGAGGAACTAACACGTTTATGTGAAATTTTGAACCTTGACGTAATATATCGGTAGACTTATATAAATGAATGAATGTTATATCTTTAAATACGTTCGAGTTATTTGTTATTTTATCATGTATCATTTAATCAAATTTTATTGGAAATTGTATTTGTTTATTGTGAGTCGGCCTTTCAATATTCCGTCTGGGGCAAATGAATTTAAAGTGCAATTGCGAACATGATTATTTATTATAATGCATTACATTCGGAGAGTATGCTTGTTGAGCGTGTTTGTATGAGATGTTAACGCATGTAGTTACAAGTCCATCCTTATCGTTGTTTGGTTTTAAGAAGATAGTGATTTAACAAATAACATCACCCAATCGTTAATTAAGTAAGTACACGTTTACTGTTACTAATAATTATTGCTGGCGCTCGGCGAACTAGTTAAAGAACGTTTCAATTGAAGACGCACTGTGGCATAATGAGATGTTTACGTTTTGTAGCAATCGTCTGAGGCGGGATGAGAACGTTTCCGAGAGGCACCCCACCCCCCCTTACACAAATTCGCACGTAGTGCCACTGTTGAAAATGGCCCGATACGATGACTATGTATCGTGTTCTTTTTAAACATTGAACAAAATACTAGGTGAGTTGTCTATTCAATTCTAATGTATCTGCTGATTGCGGCGAATTTATTTTGTAAATTTAATAAAATGTTGTTCTATAAAACTATGTTTAATTTCCAAAATCCCTTCAGTAATAAGATTATAATGGACTATTGTAACTACATGTGTATGCGTAATTTTTTGGTGTGACTGAGGATGAATAAAAGAGATGTGAATGATAAATAAATGTATCTGTATAATAATAACAATAATAATTTAATATAACTATTCATTTCTAATCAAATTATTTTCTTTTAAAAATGAATTGTTGTATTGAAATTTCATTGACAAACAATAGTGCCTTTGGGCGCTACAAAATGTGTGCGAACGTTTAATTCTTTTTCAGTAAACTTAGCTAGTGCGATGCTACTATGCGAGATTATGTTTTATAATAGACTGTGCGTTAGTAAGGAGTGTGTTTATGTGTGTGCAGTCTGCGCAGCGACGCATCCGTGCCATGGTGGCGCAGGCGAGCGCGCCGGGACGCCGCCGCGCCGCGCAGCCCCCGCCCGTGCAGCAGTAGGCAGACAAGTCCGCGTCCCCACCCCCACCCCCCCAACCCTCCCCGCGCGCTCTTACAAACCCCACCCCTCTAAACCCTGCCCCCGCCCCCCCCTAACCGCGGCCAGCCTCCGCATTACCTACAGCCTAATTACACACCTTTTTTTTTCGCATTAACCAATTAAGCAGCCTTACAGTCACTCTGAGTAACTGATGACATAGTAAGCATACTTTAATGCACCCCAAAAAGAACATCAGTAAAAATGGTAAGGATGATAGTTACCCAGATTGACTGAATACGCATTCAGAATAAATCAGCCCTTGAAATGTATGTGTGTATGTATTACACAATTTTTTAATTATCTTTGAATTACATATGAGCTGTCATATAATAAGGTATGCTTAAACTGCTTGATGTGAAATTGATTTTGCACGACTTTGGATAATGTAATTAATTTCTGATTAATTAGCAATTTGAAAAGCATATTCGCTTTGATTAAAATTTACATTATTATAATGAAGTAATACTTATGTAAATAAATGTTTTAAAAATACATTATCATAAGCTGTCTGATATCAAAATTTAAAATGGATACGTGCCATGTACTGTATCTGTACGTTTTCGAACATAGTTTTTGTGTTAGGCTCGTAATGTTATTGTACACGCTTTCTATCTTATACAATTGTGTATGTCTCACGGTGGCTCGTCTATGTAGTCGTTTGAGTTTAGTACGCAACATGTCCAATGACCGATGGATTATATATCATAAGTAAAACTGCACAAAACTGAACTTACTGTTAACACGTACGTTCTTTTATTACATTACGCAGACGAGAATGCTTTTAGTTACTTAAATATACATTTTATATACAAAAAAAAATAATCACAGATAGTACAAAATAATAACAATGTATGTGAATGTAACTCCAATGGTAATTGTTGGAATGTTGGAGTGCTAATGAGTGTCGAGTGAAGCCAACTGTGTTTGTGAACTGGTGTTCGCAGAGTATGTACTAAAATTCGGATTATGCGCAGGAAGGCTGTTGTGTTGGTGTATTTCCATTTGATGTTGTTGTTGTCGTAATTATATATTAATGTAGTAAATTATAATTAAATACTTATTGATGGATCCATATTTTACCCGGGGATTATCTATGTTGATGATTACTAATTGAATATATATAAAACTACAAACTATACTATTCATATACACTATTTTTAACGATAATTGTTATATTGTTTTTCATGCTGTTACACAACTACACGATATAAAGTTATCACAGATTGCAATAGTCTAATATTATGTTCTATTTACTATACATATGTTAGTAGGGATATATCTATATAGCACCACCACATTATTATACAATCGAGAAGTTCATATTATGTTTTGTTATCACTTCATAGATTAATCTGTTAAGTCACTGCAGAACTGTTATAAAATATTATTTGAAGGGTGTGTGGGAAGATAATTAACAACAAGGAACACGGATATAGCACGACATCGCTTTAACTGGAGGCTCAACGGACTAACGGATGCTTTGCACGTATAGTTTAGGAATGCATTTCTTGAAACGATTCACTGATTTCTGCATGCCAGTGGTATAAGACGTCGCGTCGCATCGCATCGCATGCACTGTGTGACACGATGCGAAGGATGACGTGCGTCGCGGGTGTTAGTAACTATTCCAAAGAGTGAAAGATAGAAGGGTCGTATAACGGAGACGATAAGGGCGATCAAAAGTCACCTCGCCTAGACAAGGAGCGGGCGAGTTCGTCTCTGCCCGCCCCTATATACACGGAGATGATATTCATCCACCTCTCTGATGGATGTAAATATTTTTGATATGGTAGTAATTGTTGGGAATTAAGGAGTAATCTTATGATTTTAATTTGTAAGTGGTATTTGTTGATCGTTTTCTTTGTAATTTTGTCTTTGTTAGCTTTATAATGTTTTCTTATATTGACAGTAAATGAACATTTTGAAAATAGGATTACTTTAGCGTTTAAATGGTGCGAATGTCAACGTCGTATTGTTTGGTTTTGTCGTGATGTTTAATTCAATTGTACGATTTTTGCGTTATAATTGTGCCAAGTGAGATATTTAATGAGAATTTAAGATTAAGTGGATAATATCAAAATTTAATGGAAAAGCTTAGATATTTATATTATAATTGTGATAATATATGGAAATTTGGCAAAAATGTAACTAAGAGTATCTACATTCTTATTCCATTTTCTCAGTTTTAGGTTAGAATAAAAGGTATGTGGTAAGTGCAGTAGTAGAAGCGGACAGTCCGAGCCGCGCTCTGTCGCATTTATCTCTCTCTCTTGCCGATATATAATCCTTTACTTCTTTGTCTATTGCATTTCCCAAATGCATTAAAATAATTCTCAATTCATTGGACACAAGAATACGTGAAAGCTCTGAACGTATTTGGAGGTTTTAGGTTGTTTAGTTTACTGTGAAAGAAGAAATCATTAAATTTGCCGTTTAAAACATTTATTATCCTAAAAAACTCGAAGTTGCTTACTTCCACATATTATTGAAAAAAAATAATCAAACTCGACAATTAACCTTTGCAACTTAATCAAACAAACTATTGTAATGATGTGATTCTCTGAAGAATAATTTACAAAAGAGTCTTAAAAAGATTTTGTCAACAATCGTTATCATTTGTTCACTTGTTCGAATGTCTATTGTATTTCCTACATATAAATAAATATCTTAAGTAAGTCCGTATTGGGCACTACCACGACGATGAAATGAAAACTTTTTGTATTTGATCTCATTGCGTGGTGCGTGGAATGTGTAACTATGATATTTTTAGGGCGCGCTGATTGACTCGCTGATTTCAATATTTTGTTTGCCAGTTAGCCTTCTTATTGTTTGTTAATTTCAATCGTAGGACGAATGTAGCGTGTGTCACTGACTCCTAAACTATCCATACATTAAAAATAAGCAATGAATCCCCCGTAAAGTGGTCGTCCAGAAAAATTGTGAACGTATGGAAGATTAAATTTCCAACTAATTGTATGACTATATACTTTAACAATAACAAAAAACGTGTATTTCTTATTAATTTTCTGTTAATGATGATTAACAATAATCTAGAGATATAATTGATACTTTTGTTTCAAATTTGACTGACGGCTACTTCACTGTTTTCATAACAAAAATAAAACAATTCTTTTTTTTTTCGCCACAATTCTAAAGTGGTATTGTCGTTTAAATTGTAACAAAATAAATATAGAAATGCGACAGTTACTTATTATATTAAAATTGTAACATATCAGTTAGAACAATCTACAAATGCCTCTCAATGCTAGGTAGGACACGGTAAGACAATTACTCCGAACAGACTGTATTGTACATTTTGTACTTACAAAAATCTAGTATAGTCTTATTCAATTGCTACAATGAAGTCCCAAGACTGATGTGAAATTCCTATTCTAATTTATAAACCTACTTGACGTACACTTTTAGTGTATGTTTGGAAAATACCCTTGACAATATTTATACAAATAGCAAACTCTAATTTATATTGCAAAGCGTGCGTCGGGTTATCGAGAAGAAATCTGGTGTTTTTACAGGCTTAAAGTTTTCGATGTTTATCCAACTGCGCTTTTCTAAATATTTTTGTCAAATCTATTTAACTGGGATCCTGCATATATTACCAGCGAAAACATTCCAAATGTAGCGACATCCCTTCGCAGAAGAATGTTCATTGATTGAACCTTTGCCTGTGCAAACATGCACGCAATAAAATTGACGCACTGAATATGACATTATTTAGTAAGAAATTAAAACGTAAAAACCTCGCTTTCCGCAGAATGAAGTGCTTACTGACGTGTAGGTACGTCGTCCAGATATTTCAGATTATTGCCACTTGTCATGGACAAAACGGTGTGGAATCTAGATTCATTTAAATATCTCTTTAAATTTTTCCTCTAGGTCCGATTAATCTGAGTCACATAATTGCAACAATGCGTGTTTGCAATAATTAAAGAATTTTTGCTTGCGTTCTGCGGAAAGTGCAAAATTGTATCACCACTTATGTACACTTAGATATATTGACGATTTATTTGTCGGTGTGCTTTACTAGCTGTTGTTGAATATTTTTCGTTTTTACTGGAGTAAAACAAAGATTAAATGATTACATCGTATTAATTGGTCCGCGTGGTGTTCAGTATCTAGTCGATATACTGAAGGTCCTTAGCATATGTTGACCCGACTCACCAACAACAACAACCACGTTACAATAATTGTAATGTTCACCGGAAGGAAATGATTATTATAATATAACGGTTACTTTCACCGCGACAGTTATGTTCATTGTATAGACATGCGGTTATAATTCCCATTACAGGAGAGGGATTGATTGATTTGCAATGTTAGGATGCAGAAACATAGTTTTAGTTGAATTAATTGTATCGTTGTGAAGTAGTTTAAGTTGAGGGTAAGGCGCAGGCGGCGCGCGGCCACGAGACTGAACTACACCCCTGCCGTTGCGTCGTCGCGCCTCTTACTTCATCGTCATTTTCGCTAATATACTTTTTATCATTCTTGTTTAATGATGGTTCTACTGTTATTTACATTACATTTAATATTACTTTCATCATGTGTGTAACCATTTTTTTTTTGTGTATACGTGTGAGCGGTTGAATTTATCGATTTCATTATGTGCATGATTGAATGTATCCTAAAAACAGCGTCTGGTTTGCGCTATTTGGATTTAATGCGGACTACGTAGCTATTTTGTTTCAAAATGGGCGCTGATTACATATTGCATTACGTAATATAATTTGTTTCACATTCAATACATTGTTTACCTGTTGCATAGCCTAGTATCTATTGCAAAAACAAGCACGAAAATGTTCTCAAAATGAATATTGTATGTTACACCCCTTCCACTATGCATATGTAATAAAGTTTCATCGAGTCTAAAGCTAAATGTTTAATGTATGTGTACGTGTATTAAATGTACCTTGCTAGTAAAATGGCACGATATCGATGGTTGACTATATAGCGTTACGAAATGACCATGACGTGGACACGTTTCGCCGTGGTGCACACTGCACTAGAACCAACGATATCTGTTAAATTTTACATTAGAATTTGAGAAGTCATTCTTGCTTCTCATGTAGTTATATGAAGGTTCCGTCAACAGATTTTTGTTTCCATTTAAACAGGCATTTATCACCGGAAATTCTTTGATTTTACTGTTACTTTTAGAACCATTTATGATTGGTATAAGTTTTGAAACTAATAACTACCTCAATATTACTAAATGAATATGATAATTATCTTTGTGCATGTTTTTGGGAACTGAATTTTTAAAACTACGAAATTTCAACATAGTAGTAAGAATGCTATTATAAACATCGTATCTGAAAAATTGTCAAAATTAGGTTTCTTAACGTAATAAAAGTAATGGAAATTGAATGCATTTTTATTTTTTCCTTATTTCCCTACTTCCTTGCTCTAAAAGAAAGGTTCCATTTATTGGCTAATATCTCAAGTTGAATAGCATAGTTTCCTCCAATAAATCCGGTTGCAGACCGAAAACTAAGCTACTTAAACCAAAGCTAAACCAAGCAAACTGGGCTAAGCTAAATTAGAAATAAATGCATGCACACCAAGAGCTAAGCCGAGGTCGGTCAGTGTTGCGAAGTTCAATTCGACGGACGACGCTAAGCGCAGAGATGTCTAAATAACCATATATAAAATATCTTTTCTCCCTTGGATAAGTTAGTGGTGAGTGTTGATCATAAACTCGTGATTGACAAGTGGCGGCAGACACGCAGTACGTGATACTTGGGTGGAGGCCAAAACTTCTACGAGAAAAGTACTTGATACAAATGTTTGTAACAGCGACAAGTTTGATTACCTAGCACGTAGTCAAATTCGCCAAAAATAAAAAATTAAATAAAAATTAAGTGCATAAAAAATTATGCACCAATAATGGTTGGTATAGCTGACTAAGCCCCGGGTATCGCATACATTCTCTTCGATTTGGTGCACCGAGAAGCTTTAATTAGAGGATTTTATTATTACCTACTATTTAATTTCAATGTGTCTGAAAGCCCAATAAATCTCTACAGATTAAAGTAATTGCAATAAAAATGTAACGATAAGCTATTGAATGAGACTGAAGATCACAAATCTGTAAAAATCTGTGGTCAAACACCTGATGCACTCGTATTGAGTTAAGTGAAGCTGGAGTACACTCACGAAGGTCAGGAAAAAGGAAAACGCCCGTGTGCCTTCGATATCCTTGGTATACAATGCATGCTGATCTATACCAACATCAAATAGACCGCTGCAATGTTAGGGAGAAATCTGGAGTAATAGAAAGGTAAAAGGTAAAGGTAAAAAGGTAAAGGTCTCCTTAAAAACATTGTAATCCCCCTCAAGACACTGAAAACTTCTATTGGTAAGTATTAACATGTCGCAGAGGTGCTACCGCCGCAGATAGGCACTGATCGTGTCCACGGTCAGTGATGGATAAGCTCCACACGCGTGTTAGCATCACGTCTCTGTTAGGACTTGCAGAGACTGATATAATATGTATATTTGATTCTAAGCCCAGTATTGCTGGAGGACTCGACATCAACCCAGACGAATATTCTGTCTTCAGAATAATTATCCTAATGTAGGTAGGTAGGTTCATTGGTGATCTTCGATTATGTAATTTATTATCTAACCTGTGGGTCAAGCAATAAATAAATATTTTAGTTTCTTCTTTTCCATCTACTTAATCGCTGGTGCGAGCTTCGGCGAGGGTTTCCAAGCAATGTTTGGAAGGTGAGCGTCTAGCCTTAGCAAAAGCAATGCTTCGCTGAATTCACCACCGGGTTGGAATCGAATTTAGTTTTATTTACACATTTACTGTATTTATTTTTAAATTTTGATACATGTACAACTAACAAGTTAACAGATTATGGATAATTTTATTACATTATATAAATGTCCTACATAAAGGGCTGTTTGGGTTTGTAAAGCAAAAAGCATTATTTTCCGGCAGCGGTATAGGCATACGCGAACTTCTACTAAGATGTATTTTGAACGTATTTTGAAATTGAATTCCTGCTAGAGGTTTGAATTTTTCGTTATTTTGTCTTTTTGTCGGTACTTCATCTCTTAACTCTTTTATTAACTCCGAAGCAATTTGTGCTTCGACGGGGTCTTCTGGCGTGGTGCTAGAGTTTTGTATTGTAAAAGCGGAGTATTTTGTTTTTGAAGCCCTCAAGGAATTCCGTCTTTGTTGAGTCGTTGGATCTGAAATAGAGCCTATATTGCTGCTGCTTAGTTTGGTAGGACGATGAATTGGTTTCGGTGTAACTGTAACAATGATATTATACTTAATAAACAGAAGAAAGTGGACAGGTTAGCAAAATACTTTTTTGTGAGAACTTTTGAACATTCTGAGCCATTCTTTGTGTATTGTTTATTTATGTATATTTTACAATAGATAATTACTTTTCTGTAAATTCTTAGTGTTGTATTCAGTACTTTTGGATCGTTGTTTATTTGTTGATGTAATTGTCGTACTCTTTGTTTCCGATGTTTTTCCGAGAGATTTTTGTTGTGCAGGTTTTGCGGCCACAATTGTAGCATATACTGTAATGAAAACGAGTGAAACAGCAGGTATACCAGAATTCAAATAATTTAAAATAGCCGTTTTTTTTATTTCATTGTTTTCTGTCATACTATACCTAAGTAAGGGATACCTATACTAGAGATTAACTAAATAAGTACATATTTTAAATCTTTCGTTAATTAACTTACGTATCTAAACATTAACTGATTGACTAATCCAATTTTAATTTATTTTTATTAAACAAGTATGGTACTGAAGAAATGAGGATATTAAAGTTTGAAACTTATAATTAACTCATAAAAATAATCCTATAGTCAAATAGTTGAATAGTATTGTGACTAATTAGCCTGACATTACTATATTATTATAGTATATACTCGTATTATTGTAATTATATTATAGTCTCTTTGTGTCTAGGCATGCCTGTACATTTACCGGTGGTAGGGATTATATTAAAACCGCACGGGCTTGAGGTACCTTCCTGCCTCTTTCATAAGACTTACCACGCTGCCTATCAATAACAATAAATGACAACTATCCATACGTTACATAACATATATTGATATGACCGTAATAATTGATGTAGTCCCTGCGCTTGGGGATACCGTGTACTTCAGCATAATAATATCCATTTGCATTATTAAAATACCTAAATAACTTCTGTCGCATTAGCAGCGGAATAATATGAATGAATAATAACAGTTTACGATAAGAATAGCCATAGGCTGTGTAATACCTACCAGTATTTGTAGACTGTGTCTCCAATCTATTAATATTTGATCTTCGTGGCTTTATACCTTTGAAATAAAATATGCAGTAACTGAGAATAACAGGATTAAAAGAATAACAACGTCAGTTTGTGTGAAAAATAACCGTTATAAAGATACATATGTAGCGTTTTTAAACACCTATGGATATAAAATAATCTAAACTCTAAATTTTATCATTTCTTTTTACTTAAATACTAGCTGACCCGGAAAACATTGTTTTGCCATATACAGGGTGGCCCATAAGTCCTTTGATATGAAAAAAAATTTATTAAAATAAAACTAATAACATTATGAATTAAATTTTTATTTACATAAAAAGCTTAAAAAACGGGAATTATTTTTTGAAAATAACATCTCCTAAATGTAATCCGTTGCGATCACGGCACTCTTGCAAACGACGTCTAAAATTGTCGATGACTGCGCGGCACGTCACTGCTGAAATGCTTGTCATTTCTCTGCGGATGTTTTCTTTTAGGGCCTCAATTGACCGCGGGTTTGTGTCGTATACTTTAGCCTTAAGGTAGCCCCACAAAAAAAAATCCATCGGGGTCAGATCTGGACTACGTGGAGGCCAGGAAATGTCTCCTCTCTTAGAGATAACTTTGCCAGGAAAAAGTTGACGGATAACGGGCATAGCAGTGTTAGAGGTGTGAGAAGTGGCCCCATCCTGTTGAAACCACGTCCTGGCATTAAAGCCTGAAAAGTTTTGCAATTCTGGTATGAAAAACTCTTCGATCATAGCCACATATCGCTCCGACGTAACAGTAACTGCGCGCCCTCTGCCATCCTCAAAGAAGTAAGGCCCTAGGATACCATGGGCTGACATAGCGGCCCAAACAGTCACTTTCGGACTATGTAAGGGCTTCTGATGCTTAAGTTTTGGATTGATGGGGCTCCAATAGCGGCAATTTTGTTTACTAACATGCCCGTTAAGATGGAAATGAGCCTCGTCAGAGAACATTATGTTATTGAAGGAAGTAAACCGATTCAACATTTCATTCGCATAATTTTGTCTTTGAATACCGTCAGTTTCCTTTAATTCTTGAACCAACTGAATTTTGTAAGGGTGCATATGTAAATCTTTCTTCAAAATCCGTTGTAACGATGTCCTGGATACGTTTAATGCTCTGGCGCGCTTACGAGTTGACTGTGTCGGATTTTCGCGAATAGACTGTGTCACTGTGTCTATGTTTTGTTCCGTACGTGACGTCCTTGGGCGACCCAACCGCGGTTTATCTAACGTCGAACCGGTCTCCTCGAACTTAGCAACCCAGTTCTTAATCGTTTGAAGAGTTGGAGTGTCGTCAAAGTTGTGTAAACCTTTGTGTTCTCGAAATTTACGCCGCGCAACGGTTGCCGAATTGTCGTTTTTATAAAACTCGCGCACACAAAACGCACGGTCCGCTCCGGTAAAACGCTCCATCGCGACTAAATTCCCAGAAACCGAAGTTACTCCCCCCGCTTCCCCTGCACCGCTCACGCGCGCCCTGTTCGTTTTATTCAAATTTTACTTTTCAAAGGACTTATGGGCCACCCTGTATAAGATTTCTAGGGAATTTCTAGTGTAGAAAAAAAACTAACTTATTGTAAGTGTGTAAGGATGTGGTAAATGAGTGAAAGAGGCATGTAGCGCTGTGAACGATGAGGGAATATATAATAAAAATAACAAAACCTCATTCAACCACATAATACCTCATTATAACAAAACAAAAATGTCCAAATAAAAAAAAATATGTTAGGGGTGGACAACCCTAATCACTTAGGGGTATGAAAAATAGATAGTAGCCGATTCTCAGGCTTACTGAATATGCATAAAAAATTTCATGAGAATCGGTCAAGCGGTTTCGGAGGAGTATGGGAACGAACATTGTGACACGAGAATTTTATATATTAGATTAATACATGTTTTAACCTATATCAGTCTTCAATTCTAAATAGGAACGAATACTATAGTTATAAGTAGGAATTTAAGAGTTAGCCAAATTCTTTATCTTAATTACTTATCCATTTATTGCTGCATGGTACTCCATTGACCTGCTGGTCAACGTAGCTTATAATAATTTTGTTTCCATCTAAAACCCTGCATTGAAAGCCGTGTGTGTACCGCCGCGCCGTGTGCGTACCGTGTGTACGATAAGACCGCCTATTTTAAAATTATACCTGCCTGTTGACTGTTTTCGAAGTTTAATTGTGTTTTGGTGTTCAATAAAGTATATTTTCTCTCTCACACACACACATTTAACCAATAATGTAAACATTTATGAGGTTTAAGTATCGTCATTGTAGCTTACCATGTCCGTGAGAATTCAATGACACCAACCGTCTGAAATTTGCTGCAATTTACCAGGATTATTATAAGAATGAAAACAAAAAATATTTTAACTACCTATGACTATTCGCACTGATGATTCAAAGTGTTGCCCTAAAGTTGACAACTGTATTCGTATCACGCGATTATTTTGGAGCTCAAACCCTTCAGGCGGATATCTATTTCTCTATGCAAATACGTATCATTTTCCCCTAATCGCCTAACCACTGGGAGCCTCGAGGGGCCATTCCAACTTCACCAGTTTGGTAGGTGAGCTAACGGGGCTCAACCTGGAAGAACTTCCCAACACTAGCCTTAGCAAGAGCAGTGTTTCGCTAAATCGACTACCGGATCGAAATTGCGATCCACTAACAAGATCCGGCGAGAAACTCCGGTGGTTGAGTCTGTGGGTTATGTTGCACATTGAACGGTGGCCGCTGCTTGGCGACCCTAAAAGCACTGAGTATGGGTCGGGATCATTCGATAGGACGTGCTTAGGGCGACGGCGGCTCTAAGTTGCCCCGTTAAGTTTGGGTCGGGTATTTCGCTCGGGTAATTAGAAACTGCCACCAACCGTGCTCGTCGAACTCGACAAGGAGGTCGACATACAACCTGACCCATGCATCAGTCCGCTGAGTTTCTCGCCAGATCTTCTCAACGGGTCGCGATTCCGATCTGGTGGTAGATTCATTCGCGAAGCAGCTGCCCTTGAGTTGTTAGGTCTCCTTTGGAGGCGCTCGGGCAGCTGTTAGCAAATCCCACCCCTCCTGGCTGAGCCTTTGCTCGCCCACCTGTCCTGGTGAAACTGGAAAGGCCTCCGGGCCACCAGTAAACTTTCAATCATAAAAAAAAGAAACTGCCACGATAAGAGAGCTATCGCGTCGCGTAGTTTTTTCGAAGAAAATACGTATTTCAAAAGTGTTCATGAACGACTTTCATGATGAAAAATCGACAAAATTGTAATAAAAAAACGGATTATATAAAACTCCACTGTAATTCTCGACGGTTATGTTAATATTTATTTATTAATGTATGATTTTAATAACTTACATGTCATAGAAATATTCTTTTCGCTTGTTGAACGCGTCACAGTGTTTGTTGTTTTCATTCCGATACTGTTTTTAAAGGTAATATTTTCATGCTGACCTCTTGAAAATTCTCATGGAAATAATTGAAAAAAATAATTTGTCATAAAATTCAATAATTTTCATTTTGTTTAGGCCAATAAAGTATTAAAAACAGTACCGCCTGAGATAAAAAGTGAAGCCATCTATCTACCGCGCTGAGCTTAATATTCCAGGTTTGGTAACATTTGTTCAATGGGCGTTAAGCCAAAAAGCGTATTGACTTTTCACAAATTTACCAATTTTATTTAAGTTTTATAAATAGTTAATAACCTAACGTGTAGTCTTTGCGAAGCCCAACCTCCATGAACAAAAAAAAAACTATTAAATTCTTTCATTATTAAACACATGTTACCCGATTTTAGTAAGCTGACTAAAAGTAATGCTTCTCTCAATTTGGTATCGTCATCAGAGTCCAAATCCTCAGTCGACATACTAGAGTCATGGAATACACTTGCTAACAGAAACAGAAAACAATTGAATTGTAAAGGCATTATCGCAACATACTTTAGGATGCATATAAAAATTTTATTTACAACAAAAATAATATCGACAAATCAAAAATTGGTACTCTACACAAATACAGAACAATAAAAAACTTTTCAAAATAATTTTTTATTTGAAATAAGTGATAAAAGTGTTTTCACGATTCATTTATTCATCGGGTTCTTGCTGCCAGATATCGCTCACTTCGTTAAACGGAGACTGAAGTTCTGCTACTTCCAATGGTGTGTTCTCAACAATCTGTTTTTTTTTTAAATTGTGTTTTAATGATCATAAGCTCACCAAAGATGTTAGTTTTTAATCTATTTTGTCATATCTCACGAAAGCTTCCTGACGAGTACCTACTCAAATAATACTGAGCATTTTTGTTTTATGAAAATGGCAATTTTTTCTTTTATATATTTTTTAATTTTCATTTTGCTCTCGAAGTCCAGGTTGGTGGCGCTGTATAATCAGGTGATTTTTTTTGCTTCCAGTTGGCCGATAAGCCTTGGCAGATTCACCATATTAAATGGGATCTATGGTATCACCGAGAAGGATGGACGAGCTCAAAGGCTGAGCCGGAGGTTGCTTTTTTTTCCTACCTATTCTAGTAACCTTCTAGATTCAGTAAACTAGTAGATGAGCTCACGGGGCTTAAATCAGGAGTATTGCTAACACTGGCCCTAGCAAAAGCAGTGCTTTGCAGAATCTACCACCGGATTGGAAACGCGACTCACTGAGAAGGTACTAGGTACCTAATACGAAAAACTCAGTGGGCTGTGTCTATGGGTTAATTTACTCGTCGAGTACTTCGTCGCACGCAACGGCTTCGGCGAGGACAGTGACCGGTGCTTGAAGTACTTAAAAGTACCGTTAATGGATCGAGAGGATCCGTAATGACGTGTCGGGGGTTGCTAACAACCCTTCAAGTGTATTAAAAAAAGCCCTGCCTTCTTAACTATAGGCTTTGTCACGTTTCCTACTGGTATATTTTAAATATTTTAATCTAAAATACGAGATAGGTATTTACTGTGATGAGTATGATACTAAAATTTTATACTATTACCTTTGCGAGCCTTCGTGGAACGAAACCATTTTTTCTAAAAGCCACTAGAGTGACAGGTCTTCGTCGACGTTCGAAAGGTTCAAAAGATCCCTAAAATAACATTCATATTTTAAATAAATTTAATACGTTAAATTTACATAGATAATGTAAAAGAAACAGACGTGCACTTCGAATCAAATAAATTAAAACGTTGCTCATCTTGTATCCACAATCATGTTCGCTCAATGTTCTATTTGCATTACAGGGAATAGCATTTAACTCGTGGCGAACAAGTTACATAAACCTCGTTCAAACACATTACTCGTTTAGTGCAAAGCTTTTAGTCATCTGTCTGTGTTTGGCTTTCCTGGACGAGTAGCAAGCAAGGTTATGTAAAAGTAAATTTAATCTTTTACCTTATTGAATATGGGTTCAAAATCGTATGAAAAAGTTTTAGATAGTCTTGTTAATTTGTGTGGTGGTCTGAATGCAGTGCGTTTCTGCAAGCCATCATATTGAGAAAGCTAAAACAAACAAAAACAACAACTGAATAAAAAGGTTGAATCAATTTACCGGGACTCAGATAAACCGCGAGCTTATCTGAGATATTAAAACAAACGGTAGATCGTAATGTTTTTTATTGCGTAGCTAGGTATACGATCTCACGCCCCACCTGGTGGTAAGTTGATACCGGAGCCCATGTAAATCGCGCACGGACACGCGATTTGAGACTCAGCCCTTAATTGTATAATATAACGGCTGTCCCATCCTTCAAACCTTCATTACTGTTTCACGACAGAAACAGGTAGGATGATGGCACTTTTCGTGCGCACTTGCGGGATTTGAACATCGGATTACACGCATCGCCCATATCCGACCTACGTGACGGGGCAAAGTAAAGCAGCCGTCACCCGAAACGTATCTTGTCGAATCCACTTTTGGTGAAGAGGTCGACGAGCGAACTAATCCACAGACAAAACCCACTGAGTATCTCGCTGGATATTCTCAGTGGGCGTGTTTCCGATTCGGTGGTACATTCAGCAAAGCACTGTTCTTACCAGTGCTAGTATTATCAAAGTCATTCAAGTTGAACCCGTGGAACGTGATCTTTAATGTTCAAAAATAAACAGTAAGTTTCTCAGCAACCCAGTGAACCTTGGATTATTGGCTAAACTTTAACATAAATACTGACATGTGAGATGGGCTTGTTTATCCAAAAGGAATTCATATTCGTTGGGAATGTTGAAATATCCTGAGCCTCCGGCTTCGATCCATTCTTCTGTTGATTGTCTCTTGTGGCTAGAAGAGAATTTGGATGATTGAAATGTTCAATAGTTAGCTTCAATGGAGGTTAAAATGAAAACGCAATAACTGAACCCTATACTTTGCAAAAAACTTAGCGTTATCTAACATTCACAAAAGTAACAAGAGATACGGTAACAGAACTTCGGTCACCTCCAGTTAGTAAGTAGATATTAATATGTAGATAAATAAACTGACAATCTAATCTTTGCCCTCTTTCTATGTTGATGGTTGGTAGAACAGTGAGTTATGAGTTCGCGCCGGGTCGTCACTACTGTAGGTATACTTCGAAGAAGACTGGAAAAAGTCCCGTCCCGGCCAGAAAAAGGCACAAACTAGATTTAGGCCTAATGCTGTGACGATTACGGCCGCGGTTACGTCTGTGTGCTTAGTGCGAGTTTCTTAACGTTCTCGATAGCGTAAAAGTTAAGCCAATTTTGTATGCAGTTGGAACAGCGCCCCTAGCGGCAAACGTACGCAAACGATCCCATTCCATACAACAAATATGAACTAACTTTTACGCTATCGAGAACGTTAAAAACTCGCACTAAGCACACTGTTCAGCGAATATAATAAAAAAATAACTAAAAGTACTCACTTTCATTGAATGCAACTGCAGCGACAATATAAAATATAAAAGATAATTTAATAATGTTGTGCATCGTCGCTTAATACCTGCTTTCTCTGTTTCTTCTCGAATATTAAAAGCCGACGATCAGTACAATTGTAACACAAAGGTGTTCAAAGAAAATCATGTTTACCAAAGTATTCCATGTAAATATGGCCATTGGAAGTATATTCCCAGAATGATACTCTGTTTGCTGTTGTAAACTCAAAATAGTGTTGAACCAATTCGTGTATGCATTTTACCGTCTAACTATATTTAATACACTCATTTTTAAAGGCACGTGGGACAAATCCTGAGTTAAATCCTGGAATATCAGGGTTGATGTGTTTATGGTTAGTTACAAATTTAATACAATCGGACAAAAAAAAATCGGTCTATCGCCCTAAATTTTTTATTTTTATTAGCGCATGAGTTACTGTTACTTTAAGATTTAAGGATCAAACATGTTTTTTCTTCCGCGTCTTCATCTTTCTATTTCTATAAGGAATAATGTATTCCATTGGTATATAATAATATTGAATTAGAAATTAATATTAAAATGTTATAACCAGCCGATCGACATAGGAGTTTAGCAAAAGCAACGATAATTATAACAAATAAAAAAAAATCATTAAATTGCATTCAGTTAGATAACTAACCCGGTTTCTCTTATTCAGAAGTTTCAGAACACACTTATTTATCGTCTTTTCGCATTAAAAGTGTACAATTTCCAAAAATATCGAAATTGAGTCAATATGCGAAATCATTTGGTATCACCAGTATTTTTCTCATAAATACTGTAAAAAGAGCGTAGTTTAGTTTTTTGTTTTTTTTTGTTTACCTATGTTTTGACTACTATTAACAAAATTAATACATACTTTTAGCTTATTTTAAAAGACAGATAATGTGACTGGTATAAATATAAAAAATAAACCTTGCAAAGATGATTAATATTAAAAATATCTCATGTTAATCCTTTAAAACACTCTCCTGTAAAATTAGTAAGTTTTGAGATCATACAGTTTTAATGAGAGAAGACGTTATGTCAAGAACGATGTATATTTTAAGTACCTTAAGTAACGCCGTGAAGGCTTGTACAGTTTCAACTGTTCTATACATTAATAAGATTTAACACAAAACTGATACGCACTTAGAAAAGCCTAGACTATTCACTATCATGCGTGTCATCTATAGGATCGTTGCACGGAGCGCGAGTGCATGGACGCAGTTGTTCTTCGCGTTCGTTAAGGGCACACCGTCCCGCCACACACACACGCCACCTGACTATATTGCCTTCTCCGCAACTCACTGAGCACCCACTCCACTTACTCCATCGACTCCATACCTTACGAGCTTTAAGTCTTTCTTCATCTTTATTGGCATGCTCTATAAAGTCTTAAAATACTTTAATTAGATATTTATCAGTATATTGTACTAGAAAGTTGAGCCATTTCAGAGATAGGACTTGTCAGTACTGGACCACTACTGGACATAGGCCTCCCCTATTACTCGGCACAACGACTGATCATGCGCTACCTGCATCCAGCGGTCTTGAATATTAAGTGTATCATCTATGTCCAGCGGTTTCCCGCGAACTTTTTTCTTCCTGCCTAAGCTGATAGCCTTGAGAGGCTATCGCAGCGTAACCTTAACTAGTAGGTGAGCACACGGGGCTCAAACCGGAGTGATGCTAACACTGGCCTTAGCAAGAACAGTGCTTCGCAGAATCTACCACCGGATCGGAAACGCGACCTACTGAGAAGATCCGGCGAGAAACTCAGTGGGCTGTGTCTATGGGTTAATTCGCTCGTCAATCCCTTCGTCGCAAGCGACGAGTTCGACGAGGACGGTGACCGGTGCTTGTGGTACCTAAAAGCACCGTTAATGGATCAGGAGGATCCGTATTGGGCGACGTCGACTGTTTATCATTCGGTCTACAGGATGGGGTATGTGGCCGCGACCCTCAACAAACCATCGGTTCACCTTGTTCACACCTACCCAAGTAACGTTTTCTGGTACGCGGTGGCCACTCGAGAACTTTTCGACTCCAGCGGCCATCACTATCAATTTAAGGAAATATTATTATGACGATAATTTTTACGTATTTGAACGCACGCAATTTCCAGGACGATAATGCACTGTGGTTTATTTTGTAATGTTTTTCGGTAAATACTGAAGACGATTTCGTGACAGTTGCGTTCGAATCGACCTAATGACCAACCCACGAAAATCTATAGAGACTAATTGGAAGTCGAGCCTACTAATCCGTCGACATGTTGGGCTTCCGGACAATTTGCTCACGTTTTTATTTATTCTTCGTTCTGTCTCAAGACACTTCTAGCAAACTTAACACGTTATCTATTATAGAATTTCAGCACCTCATTATAATAAAGCCAGACTTTGTTTACTTGCCTGTTCCTTCTATAATGTCATCTCGGTCGTATTCTGTACAACCCATATCGTTTACATCGATAATAGGTTTTGTTCGACCGTGAGCAGATAGCTGCTCTTCCAACACAAGATCTAATAATTCGACTGGATTTAACTTCAATATTGTATCTTTCGTTTTAAATTCATCTGCGTCTATCGTGCTACAAAGTTGCAAGCTATAAATAATACTCAAAGAAATTTTTATCACAAACATTGTTATGTACAATACTTTAGAAAAAGCAAGCGTAGATTTTGAAGTTGTCTATTTGTCATGTTTTAGTTCTTTTTTTCAAATCATAGATACCAATCATTATTGTGTAAGAGTGGGAATAATACGTGTAAGAGTGGCAATAATACGAGAAATTTACCACATACGATTTTTTTTATATTTTGTACATTAACAAATTTTATTCTCTGGATGAAGACCGAGAAGAAAATTACTTTAACGTGTAGCTAATTATTTAAATATTATATTTATATGATACAAGTTGTTCTTATAGTACTTTCTACTTAGAGTATACATACTTTCTAGTTCTTATATAATATATAAATATTTTAGAATACACATACCCATTTTTCTCATGAATATGCCCTTAATTAAGGAAACTACAGTAAATTTAATTTCCTATCTGAAATGTTCTAGAAGAAATGTGACTTGTAGTGACATCTATCAGAAGCCTAGTGAACCACTTCCATTCCACTTCCATTGAAACCATTGCGCATAGTATTTGTGCCCCGCGATATTTTCATAACGTACGTATTTATTTTAAGTTGAATTATTGTAGGTACATTACTTCAACTGCCTGTTCCAAAAGCCCCTGAGAAGAACCCGTAAACTACAGCCAACATCATTGGCACTGGGTACTTACCGCCAATAATCGTTGTCACTGTATATAGGTGTTGAGGCTCACAGCCTTCAAAAATATGTAAATCATAAGACGTCACATTTTCTTTGCTGATTCCCATTATTGTATTTTTAAGGAAAAAAACCCTTACGCTATCCAAACAGCAGCATTTAGCACGATATATTCTATATTGCACAAGAAGAAACGCGGTACGCGAGGAACGGCGACGTCTTTTGAAGCGCACCACCACCCGAAATGATGACCACGACCACTCTGCCAAAAGCGCATACGACTGAGAAGAATCCTATATTGCTGTTAATGGGGAAAGCAACTTCAAGTCACCAGACGTTAAGTACAGTGGTGAATTTACACTAGGGGCAGTCGGGGAAAGTGCCCAGGGCGGCAAAATTTTAAAACTGATTTTTTTTTCACGTCAAGATTGCTCTATGTAATTAATTAAGTCTATAATTAATAATTTTCTGTTTAATTGATAATTCATGAAATGGCACTTTTGGTAAAATTAATAATCAAAATGATTTAATCAATTTATTTCCTTGGAGATTTAAAATAATAATCGATTTTTTTATTTACCAGAATTAAAGAAATTTAATTTTTTTTTCAATTTTATTTATGAGTCAGCTTTAGTGTGAAATTTATAATTGTAAAAAAACACATATTTATTTATGTTTGTAGAAAAAGAAAAATTGTAGAAAAAGAAAATATGTAAACTATAGGTTTAAGTAAAATTTCAGTATTGGCGCGGATTTTTTTCCGGTACCCAGGAGCGGCATTAAGTTTAAATCCGGCCCTGGTTAAGTAGCTAACCAGCCCTTTGAGATCATCAGGTGAATAGGCAGTTTAACTCACATTGATATTTTACAACAGCTATCCCGCACTTAAAACTGCAGTGCATTAAGGCTTAGTAGCAGAAATAAATAGTACGGGGGTCTCACCATGTGCAAGCTCACAATAATGCTGCTAAATGTTTTAAGCTAAGTCAAAGCGCATCACTCAATACGAGAGGAAGTTAAGGTAATTGAATTTATGGGATTTTTTTTAGATCTTAGTGTAAGACGCGATTTCACTGAGGACATTAAGAATCGAACGACGGTCCTTCCTCACAAAGCTCAATGGTAAAATGTTGAATACCACAGCAACGCTGATGGTTAGAGGGAGAATTTTAAAATCACAGCAATGTTTTATATTTCATTTGAGGTTTTAAATAGCAAAGCTTTATCAATGTTTATAAAAACGATAATTAATAAATTAACAAAGGAGATTCAACAAATAAAAAATAAGAATTATTTTTTGTTGCCTTTATTTCGAAATATTTAGATAGATACATAAAATACATAATAGGCTTTACAATATATAATAGACAAATCTCAAGACAGAATGTTTTACTAACAAATTTCGATAACAATGGAAGTCAGAATCAATATTGATCCTATTGGTAGGTAATATTAATGGAGAATGAAAGGAAAATCCCACCTCACAATAAAGCCGAACTAGCATGTAGCACTATAACGCAACCCATATTTAAGGTGAAGATAGGGTTTTGAAGTCTAAAATTTATCTCTTATCGACTTTACAATAAGAGACAAAATTGTTATAGCTACTAGACGAAAGTTGATATGGTTTTAAAAATACTTTTTATAAAGCCTTAAATATTTGATTGCTTTTTTTAACCACTTGATTTTTCGTGATTGTGTGACTATTTAATGTAAATTTTTAGTTATTGGCGAGAACACCAGGAGCGAAGTTGTAGGAATTGTTTTATTTTGTTAATTTATTGTTTGTTTTGGTTTAAACTTTAGTTTATTAAACATTTTGCATCTGTGAAGAGGAAAAATTTTTATAAAATGAACTAAAGTCCACTGACGTTTCGGTAAATATCCACGATTTTTCTGAGAATTTTTTTCATTCCCTCTCACCTTGTTTCGTTTAATTTCATACCAATTGATTACAGTCGGAAATGAATAAATTTCATCTTATTTTGCTTTATATAATTTTTCATATAACAGAACATGAATGAATTTATTAATTAAATAATTTTATAATCTCGTCACTGTCAACAATCGCATTTCAAGAAGCTAATTCCATACTTAAAATAATAACTTTTTTTTTCTCCTAGCGACGCCGAAAGTTCTGTTTTCGTCCCGCTGTACAGGGAAGAAAGTGTAACTTTTCCTCCCGTTGTACAGAGAAGAAAGTGTAGCTTTTTCTCCCTGGGTACTGACAAGTGCGCATGCGCGTTAGTGTCTACGTCTGCTCTCAAGCACCTAAAATTCTCCGCCATCGTTTACACGCGGGAGGAAATGTCCAAATTTCTCCCTTGGTGCACAATGTACTATTTTATAAATTGTATTTTCTCTTTACAAAAATACAGGCAAACGATTTGGCGACTTCCAGATTCATGGGATTAATGTGAAATAATCTTTAAGTACTTTGAAACAAAAATTTATACCTGGTACGTTTATAACAATTATTATCATTATATCTAAATATATTTAAATTCATTATTGTAATACTATAGATAATAATTGGAGGTAGCGTTAACACAATAAAATAATATTATACATGATAAATTTAGAAACATTTCTTCTTCTTTTTTATTTAATAAATAGCGATTATTATATAAGATATTATTATATAAAAAAAAATATTGCAAAGGAAAAATAATTAGACTACAAATAAATATTTCAACGGGTAGTTCTGGGAACATATTGCTGCAAGCGTTTAAAGTGTTAGGTTTAAAATATTGTAAAATACAAAACTTCAACAGAAAAATTAATGAAGGAGTAGTTTATGTTTATGTTGGTAACAGATTGGAAAACAATATTTATTCGCCAAACATAAATAGTATCTAAGAGTATTTGTACGGTTTAATCTAGTTTTTTTTTTAATTGTCATTAAATTACGTTATTCCCAACAGACGTCCGTAACAACGAAAACTCTGAAGTATTCAAAGACGTCAGAAATAACATAATGACAAAACTATGTAGCGCGAATTATTATGCCGTAAGAGTAGTTATAATAACGTCATAAAATATACTTAAAGTATCAGTAAATTTGAGTGACAAAAGTTGAAATTTTTGTTCTGTGGATTTTTTAAGACCGGAATGCATCAGTTGATTTTCAATTGTTACTTATTTTTGTGTGTTACCTTAATACATCATCACTACCGAGTCTTCAGTTTCCAGGAGTCGTTCCTCAGTCCGCTACTGTTTCGCGTTTATTCTTGGCAGACTCTACCCTGTGATCTGTAAGCGGAGTAAAACGTCCCTTCGGAACAAGGTGACACTTCACAAAACTTGCAGAAGACCCGTCATGACTTACGCGAGTGCGGTGTTCGCTCACGCGACCCTCACGCATGTAGAGACCTTCCAATCCCTACAGTCCCGCTTTTGCAGATTAGCCGTCGGAGCTTCGTGGTTCGTGAGGAACGTTAACCTACACGACGACCTGAGCGTCGGATTGATCCGGAAACACATGAAGTCAGTGTCGGGACGGTACTTCGATAAGGCTATGCGTCATGATAATCGCCTTATCGTTGCCGCCGCTGACTACTCCCCAAATCCTGATCGTGCAGGAGCCAGCTACCGTCGACGCCCTAGAAACGTCCTTACGGATCAATCAGACCCAATAACCTTTGCATTAGATGCCTTCAGCTCCAACACTAGGAGTAGGCATAGGGACCCTGGTAACCGTACTAGTCGAACTTGACCAAGAGTTGCAACCGTGACGAATGAGACGTGCAACCTAACCCATGCATTAACCCGCTGAGTTTTTCACTGGATCTTCTCAGCGGGTCGCGATTCTAATCCGGTAGTAGATTCATTTGCGAAGCAGCTGCTCTTGAGTTATTATGTCTCCTTCGGAGGCGCTCGGGCAACTGTTAGCAAATCCCACTACTCCTGGCTGAAAAGGCGTCAGGCCCACCAGTACTCACTCTATCAAAAAAAAAAAGAGTAGTTCAACTACGCCCTTTTAAGTTTTGAAAAAATTAGGACTTATTACGTGCGAAATATGAGGATTCGGTTATTTCAAACGAAATGAAAGTGGGTTTTTATTATAGATAGGTTTCTATATATTATTTTATTTATAAAAGTAAGTAGGTAGCTTTTTTGTTGGTATTTAAATGGACCAAAATGATATCATATTGAAATACATTTACCTATTATATAAGAAAAACAAAACAAGCGAGTATCTTATGATATAAGGTTCGATTCCTAAAACACTGCAAAAGAGCCGACAATTTTTTAAAAGTTCTAAAGTATTTTTCACGCTTGAGACGATAGAATACGGTTGTAGGGAATAATTTTGTTTTTTTTTAAAAAAAGATGTACTTATATTATATTATGTGTCGACATCAGGGGCCGGACATCCGTGATTTTCATTTTAAAATGTACCTATTGGGTTCGAAGCAACGAGAAAAAAATCCACGAATTCGCACAAAAAGGATTTTCTGAAAGAGTAGAACAAACCTGTTCGTGATGGCGAGAACCGCTTTTGTTTTGTGCAGTAAAAGTCTATCACGTTTTTACGAAAAACTTTCAAAATTTCTGTCACTTTATTGAACGGACACGGGACAAGTTGAAAAAGAGCTAAGCTATAAAAAGCAAAATGCAAATAAAAAACTTAATAAAACACTGCTAACGTAGTCAATGTTAAAATAAGAATGTAGCATTATTTAAGCAAACAAGGTGATGTGTGCAGAGTTGAAAAAAAATATAAAACAACTTTTGGCGCTATTTTATAGATTACACCAGGTACTTGCAACGGTGGCGCCACATTTTTTCTTTCTTTTTTTACCGTGGGGCCATCCTAATTGCTCACTTTTCGACGGGCACCTTTTCATACACTAAGATTGTGTTCCTTACCTTATGTTTACCTACTACCTCCTTACCTTGTATTTTATTGATATTAAATGAATATCGATGATCTTTCCAGATCCCGATGATACATCGCATAAATGATCTCTGAAAACGCACTATGCTTGAACGCAGTGGTTACAGGTAGTAAGAAAGTTCTCTGCCCTGGCGGATAGTGGTCGTGCAAAAAGAAGATGGGGAAACAGCTCAAACAATTCTTCGGCAAGCGCCCGTAGAACATACTTTACAAAGAAATAGAGGCGTGGAGAAACTAGTCCTAAAATTCCAAACTGATTTTGTACCTATATTCTATTATAACATTTTATTTTAACTGACTATATTTCTTATAGCTAATTTCATAGATTAAAAAGTTTTTATTTACGAAGTTTAGTGCTCTGTTCAAATCAACAAACAAAATCATATACCTTATTGTATTTTTATTGATTTCGCAGCGCTTGATCGTGATTGGGCATCAATTAGATAGAAAAAAGATCTAAGAGCATTCTCTCTATATTTGTGAAAATGACATTTATAATAATCACAACGAAAATATAACGCTTTGGCAATGATAATAAGATATTTTCCACTGTATGCAACGTTATCATACATAGTTTAGAGTAGAAATTATTTTGGTTTCGGGGCGTTCGTGGTTTTAAAACGATATTAACTGTGCAATAAAACAACGCGCAGTAATGTTTTTGAATTAGTAATTTAAACGATTTTTCAAATAACATAATTTTAGTAACTGGCCATTTAAAAACATTTTGCCTGTCTCTTCCATTGATATAGGTTTAGTCGGTTTTATTTTTTTAATCGTTTCATGTAGAAGTCCATTTACACCAGCGGTCGGGGAACCGAGGTAAATTACCCCAAATGGGGTAAAATGAAATTTTGGGGGGTAAAAATGAAACTTTTGTGAGTAAAAAAAATATATAGAAGTTAAACTTCTTTAGAATCGTTAAATTTTCTTTTCAAAATTATCATGGGGGCTATAATATGAAATATACTAAAAACAAGCGATTTCGTTTTTTTTTGTTCTTCACCATGGGGTAATATCAACTTACAGAAAAATATTTAAGGGTAATAATTAAAAAAGTTCCCCGACCGCTGATTTACACCAACTGTGTGCTTAGAACATTGAATGCCCCAGAAACCAAAGCCCTGCGATAACATCTGTGACGATACGATAAATGATAACAGCAATCATAACGTACAGGTGTGTTCCATAAAATACGAAGGTCATAACAACTACATTAAGTACCTAAACATTGTCTCTTTCACTTTACGTTTTACTGCTATTAATATTTTGTTGTATTAGGCCTATAAACTTATCGAACGGTCGTAGAATATAAATTTTTATTTACTCAATAATTTGAAGATTTTTAATTCTATATTTTTATGTAAACCATAATATGTTTGGATATATGAAACAAAAACAAAACGTGCAACATAGTACACGCAATAGAAGCGAAACATCTTCGTCGATATACAGAGAAAGATAATTACTTGATGCTGTAAGGCTACAGACGCGTCCAAAGAAGTTTAACTTCTCGAAATAGAAAGTACCAAAGTTGAAGTTTATAAATTATAAAGTACAGCTAAATTTGAAAGTTTGAACGTACAGCTTAATGTTGTATTCAAAGAATAAAGAATTAGAGAGCCTTGAAGAGATTAATTATTTTCTAAAATTAATTTAATCAACAGCAAATAATTATTTATCTCCACTACAACTATGCTTCATAAGCATGAACAAATAATATATAATCAGCTATATTTCATATTGAAACATCTAAGGTATTTTTTTCTATTATATTTACAAAAAGACAAAACGTTCATTGTTTACAATCAGACTTGAATAAGAATCGAGAATTAAGAATAGAAAACGAATTCTAATATACAATAAGTATACAACAATCATTAATGACAAAAAAAAACATTAAATATTAATTGATGTGTTTTGAACATTTTTCATTATGAATTCTAATCATGTTTTATAAGCTAGAAGTGGCAATCTAGCTTTTTAAACTAAACTATGCATTTGCCATGTTACAAAACAAGTTTACTAGGGCAGCTAGCGCATTACTATTCAGCTAACTATAGTAATAACGATAATCTAAAGGAACACATATTTAGATGTTTAATTTGAGGTAGTCATTTCAACAACTACATTCCAAAATATATGGCTTAGCTTTTTCGAGTACAACCTCAATTTGAATACATAATTATATTATGTTCTATAATACTTTCTATCTACGTAAAAATCGTTTCTTGCTATTTTCATTTGTGTCACTAAGTTCTCAAAGGGAAACCATATAAAGTACATTGTACTTACAAATACCCAAAACCCCAATTTATTGATTTCGACAATTTTAATGTAAGAAGATTTTATTACCTTCAATATCACCCTCTCTACTGCAAGCTAGAGCGCAACTAAACAACTAATAAATATCCGTGAATTTTACGGTTTCTCGTAATTACAATATCAAAGTATTTATTGTAAATATAGATCCAACGTTATTATTCTGGTTACGAGATCTATTAAAATACTTAAGGATTATGCGACGCGTCACAAGAGATATTGTAAGTTCGCAGTGAACATTCACGAGGCAGTGCGCAGAGTAATTTACCTTGTAACATGTTTCTATTTAATTACATAAACATTTACAGTCGTATTGTTACTTGTACTATTAGATCTGTCCAATTAAAAGTGCCCGTATTTATTATTGTCTTATACTTTAAAAATTATTACTTCATTCACTGATTCGTATTGCTTACATTTTTAAAGAATTCGCTATTCAAAGCATCAATGACGAGAATAACGCTAGTAAAGATTATTAAGACATTTTAAATTAAAATTACAATGTACGTTACGTTTATAATTCCGATATCGATACTAAATTACTCATTAATTATTGGAAATATCTAAACTAAGCGATTTCAATAAAAGACGTAACTTTTCTTAGATTACGAGGCACAAAAATTATTAACCATCTGTAACATTAGCGTAAATTATGTCGTATTTAACAGCCGTATAATAAAAAATATAGTCAAAGCGACAATAATTTCAACTAAATTATTACAAAATCCTGTTTTCTTATATAACGTTTCATTATTTCTTTTTTAAATTGTCTATTTTTCAATTTAATGCGTACTAATCGATTAGCCAACGTATTAGAAATCTATTCTATCATTGTAGACACGGCTTTAGTAGTAGTAGATTTTAAAACTTGAATCATAAGTATGTTTATTATTAACTACGTAAAAATTTTACTAAAAGCTGATATCCATAAAAGCGGAGATATATGTACTGTTAATCTTCTATTAGATATGAGAAAAGAGGCCATTACATTTTTTTTTAAAGTGAAATTCGAGAAATTTGTGCTCTTTTGTGGTCAACTTTTTTTTTTATTCTTTTTTTATCTCGTCGCATCGCCGCTTTGTTGTACATCAGCCATAAAAATTGGTCAATACAATAAGAATATTTATTCGAATGTACATATAGATTTGGTATTTAATTATTTTATGACAAGCGTCATTTAACAAGATTTTTTTTTGTATAGATGTCGTTTCAATAGAATCACGATTCAAAGTCTCAACAAATCAATAGACTAACTATGGATTTCGATACAAACTACAAATATATATTTTATCTAGTAACATTGTTATAAACTCTAATGTTTTTTTTTTTTAGTAATTTGGAATCATAAGTAGTGAATTGTATCACCTAAGTATGTGAATGCTATTAAAAAACATTCAAATCAACTATGATAGAACGTTAAACTTTTTGGAAAATAAAAATTAATATGGAGATTTGATTTGATATGAAACAATAGTCAATTCATTTATTTTACAAGATTCTGTTGTTTCGATTTTCTATATTAATTAAGATTTAAGATAAGATATTTATTTAAAAAAATTGCAATTTATCAATAAATAGTGCCAGGTTTCTGGAAAATGTAGTTAATAATTATCAAAAGTACATGAACTGGGAGTAACATTTTATATTTTTAGTATTTCAACTATTGTTTTTTTTTACTAATTAATTTCTTTCAAAACTTAACGTTTAGGAATAATAATAATAATTAAATATATTATTTTAGAAACTGTACGGCGTATTATTTCTAAGGTTTTTAAAGGAATATACAATTTTTATTCGACGATTATTTATACTAATATTAAAAGTGGAACGAATTTTTTTGTATACTTTTGTGCATACGATTAAATTTAATTGAACACCGTTTCTCAAAAAAATACTTGAAATTATTTCCAATAAAAAACAAGCCATTCTATAAATTATCTTAGGTATTTTTAGCCTTAAACTTAAAGCAATGCTTTTTATTGTAAGCAAGTCGTTTTTTTTTTTCATTTTTTTTTTCTTCTATTTCCCTTTGGAATTGAGATCAAGGTACACAACGTGTATATTCTAAAACTACGAAACTAAATTTGAATAATTAATCGCTATGAACACTAGCATCGTGTGCAAAAAAATTGTACTAAACATTACTTAAAAAAATTATTATCTACTTATATAAGAAAATAAGCGTTTCAATGTGTGAATGAATAAACGTGCTTCTTAATCCTTCGACTGTCAATATCATGAAGTCTTTTAATTCATTTATCTCAAAATGCCCCCATCCTCTAAGAAAACTACTTTTCTCTATTGCCTATTTGTGATTTATAATGTAAATTTTATTATTTTTCTACAGATCATACGAGCTACCGGTATCTAATAAAAATATTACTATTATTATGTTCGATGGGTGCACTTGATTTAATTTACAGTCTTTGTTTGCCAGCACAAGGAAGAAAGCTTGCACACAATCACAAAAATAATTATTGCATCCGTTAAAACAATTACCATTGTTAATTTTTTTTTTTTTTTGTTAGGTATATTAATAAATTTTCTTTTCACAGCACGATCTTTAGACATATTATTTGATGTATAATTGTCATTGTGTAACCACTGTATAAGACAACAGCGATAAAACATTGTATATAATTGATTATTGCGTGATTTTTCTTTACTGGACCCATGAAGCAGGTACCCACAGCGGTTCAGACTGAACTCTCCAAGCGGCCTTGAGTAGTTGAGACACCGCACTGGCCAGATCTTCATTCACCACCTCTTCATCGAACATGTATCCGTATAAGAAATTAATACGATTGGACGACCGTATTATATCTGTGAACTCTTCTTCCTGTAAATAAAGTTTTAGTATTTAATAAGTACTAGTGGTCCTCCGGTAGTCGAAATTCGATTATAATTAATTGAAATCATAAGTTGATACAATATTATGATTCTGTTGTCAAAGACCATTATAGACTTCTATAATCACAGATTTCGCCAAGACTTACACTTTCAAATATTAATAAAGACAAACAATATATTTTAATCTATTTTCAATTTGACCACAGACTCAGCAATAAGAAAAGTTTGACAATAAACAAATAGTATGCATGCGTGTGTGTCATATAGATGGTAGTGTGTGTAATGTTTTTTTAATTGATTTAATGTATTTGAAGTCATCGTGGTCTAAAAGATAAGACGTCCGGTGAATTCGCATTGAGCGATGCACCGGTGTTCGAATCACAGGCGGGTACCAATTTTTCTAATGAAATACGTACTTAACAAATGTTCACGATTGACTTCCACGGTGAAGGAATAATAACTATATATAACAGTTGTAACTATACTGAGATCTTAGAACTTATATCTCAAGGTGGGTGGCGCATTTACGTTGTAGATGTCTATGGACTCCAGTAACTAGGTGGGCTGTGAGCTCGTCCATCCATCTTAAGCAATAAAAAAAAATGTAATAAAAATCAAACCCGCAAAATTATAATGCGCGTAATTATTGGTGGTAGGACCTCTTGTGAGTCCGCACCGGTAGGTACCACCCACCCTGCCTATTTTTGCCGTGAAGCAGTAAGTCGTTTCGGTTTGAAGGGTGGAGCAGCCGTTGTAACTATACTGAGACCTTAGAACTCATATCTCGACGGTATTGCAGACGGGGACACGCAAAGAAATAAAGCATATTTTTGCATGATTGTATAATTAAAAAATTTAATCGATAGATCATAATAATATGTATGGTCCGCTGCAAAAAGGAAAAATGGAGCGTACAGGTGACAGTATGGTACCCGAGGTGTGAGAAGGATGAGGATGGTGTGAGAAGCCGAGGTCGCAAACCAAGAAGATGGGAGGATGAACTAAAAATTACCACTGGACCCCTTTGGATAAGAGTAGCAAGAGACAGAAAGCAGTGGAAAGAGTTGGAGGAAGCCTTGGCAGAGGCACACCGACACGAGACATTTTATAGTGGAAGTGTAGATTTTAATCTTATATTTTGTTTTCATATAATATATTGCTTTTTTCCGTTTTTTTTAGTCTACTTGAAATTGTTAGTTTAAAATGTAAAATGTTCGGAAAATAAAGGTATTATTATTATTATGATTTAAACTAAGTCGTCGACAATATCTTTGCTAACCATCAATTTACATACTATATGCTGTAGGGTATATTTTTCTTTATTTTTAGTTTGCAATTACATATAAATGTTTGAATTAGGACTATACATGCGTCTGTTATTAGCGTCACATACCGTGAATGCTCTGGATGATTCCTTATCGAATGTGGAACGCGCGTTTGCCGCAGTCCGCGTTTCGACCATCCTCTCCAAGGACGGAGGCTTAATGAACACGATGTAGGGACGCAGGCGCGGAGTTCGAAGCATCTTTAGGGCCTGCCAATGCGGACTCAACACACACACACGACCTGAAGAGAACAATTTCCAGAATAAGTTCACGAGGGTACTTCCTAATTAATTTATCGAAGTTATATTTGGACTTTTTGGCGGAAACGCGAGGAGTGAAATTGTGTGATTTGTTTTGTTTTGTCTATTTAGTGTTTCTTCAGGTTTAAATGTGTAATAACGGTGGTTTATTTAACTGTTTAATATCTCTGAAAGTGCACAAATGTGGGAAAATGAAACAAAGCCGCTGAACGTAGCTTCTCGGGATCCTCCAAAAAGTCCACTGAAAAAATCTCCGTAAATGACCACCATTTTACTGAGATTATATTTCATCCCATATCATCTCATCTGATTTCATTTATTCCATTTCATAATATAATTTTTCATAAAAATAAGAATATAAATTAAAATAAGACATGACTTAAAGGTCTTCATTACCAGATCAATATTTCCACCCATCTAAGCATTAAAAAAATCTATATCGATTTCCTTCATTCAATACGTAGCACGTGTTTTATTTTTATGTGTATGTGAATAAAAGTCATCATCATCTTCTTACTGGTGGTAGGACCTCATGTGAGACCGCACGGGTAGGTACCACACCCGTGCAGTCTCACATAAGGTGACGTTGTAGATGTCTATGGGCTCCAGTAACCACTTAACACCAGGTGGGCTGTGAGATCGTCCGCCCATATAAGCAATAAAAAAAATACAAAAAGTAAACGAGAAATAAGATTAGATTAAAAAAGCAGCTACATGTTACCAGATGTCAAAATTGGCTGGCTGACAAATCCTCGAACACATTAAGAAATCCAATGATAAATTTTGTATTAAACTAATGATTCATGCAGTGTACGTAATGTAAGACGATATATAAATAATCAGCTAACGAGCGGAAACTACAAGCTTGTGCGACGCAGGTGAATGACCGCTAAAAGCATTCGCTGTGCATTGCTGGTTAACTATACTTAAACATGAACATGCATAAATGCAAATTAATATTTATAAATTTAAACAAAAAATGCTTATTTCACAGCAAGTATATTATTAATTTATCAAGTTTTTTTTTACCAGTATTAATAATAGTCTCGACGCTTTCGGCAGCGGTCCCATAAAGATTGCCCTTGTATTCACCATGCTCTATGAATTTCCCATCGGTTATATCCTGTTCCATTTTTTCCCGAGTTACGAACACGTAATCTTTACCATTCTGTTCGCTTGATTTTATAGGACGCGACGTATCTGTAATGTTTAAAATTTATTTACAGATTAGCAAATCTCGTGAACAAAGATTTCTTTTATGAATTTATTAGCGCGCCTTAGTCTGGATACTGGTCCATAAACTAGCCGTACTCGCCCGCTTCGCTGGGTATTTAAAAATAACATTATTATTTATTGTCACTATTATTAGGGAGTCCAACACTCATATAAATATTAGCCTGTTCATTAAGTACATGTATTTTCTACATGGAAACCAAGTTTCAAATCAATCGGATGCACTTTTCAATAGTTATAACGGAACATCCGTAAAAACCATTGTAGATTTATAGATTAAAGTATAGATTTCATTTAACTTTTTTCAGACATTTGCGTGATCGAGTACCGAACATACAAATGCACGAAGGATATGATTTTTTTAGTTTATGATTTATGACATTTATGATAATAATATCAGTATAGATGTTTTTTTTTAAAAGTAAATTTGATAAGCATTGGTTATTGTTCGTACCACCACCCCACATATTTCTGTCGTTAAGCAGTAATGCGTTTCGGTTTGAAGGGTGGGGCAGCCATTTTAACTATACTGAGACCTTAGAACTTATGTCTCAAGGTGGATGGCGCATTTACATTGTAACTGTCTATGGGCTCCAGTAACCACTTAACAACAGGTGGGCTGTGAGCTCGTCCACCCATCTTAAGCAATAAAAAATAAAACTTACACGGTATCGGAGTGATGTACTTCTCCGGGTCCGTAGCGACGAGCCTCCGTCTCAGTTCGTTTCTGCCGACGCCGGGCGCTCCGATCAACACGATCGGGCGTACCAGACCCGGCCTCGGGTACAGCCGGGCGACCTCCTCGTACGTCGGTATCAATTCTCTATCGAAATCGTCGTTCTCCGTTATGTCGTATATGATCTTCTTGACTTTCGGAATCGACTTGCAGGGCAGGAGCGCTGTGGCCGTCGGCGTCGGTGAACATGGCGTTTTCGGGGCACAGTCAGAACTGGACGCAGACGGACTACAAAGGGCGGGCTTACCTAAAAACACCGCAACAACAGATCAAGCTTTTCTTGTAGACCGCAAAAAGTGAGGGTAGGATGAAATTTCAAAGAAATGCATACATTGAGGGCTTTTTGGCGGGAACGCGAGGAGTGAAGTTGTGTGATTTGTTTTATTTTGTCCCTTTAGTGTTTCTTCAGGTTTAAATGTGTAATAACGGTGGTTTATTAACTGTTTAGTATCTGGGAAAGTGCACAAATGTGGGAAAATGAAACAAAGCCGCTGGACATAACTTCTCGGGATCCTCCGAAAAGTCCACTGAAAAAGTCTCAGTAAATGACCACCATTTTACTGAGATTATATGTTATCCCATATCATCTCATCTAATTTCATTTAATTTCATCCCAGTTGATTAATGTCTTAAATTAACCATCTTCAGTTCATTTCATTTCACTTCATATTAGCATTTTCGTAAAAGTAATAATATAAATTAAAATAAGACATGACTTAAAGGTCTTAGTTACCAGGCCATAAAATCCCTTAAAAACGCATACATTAACAGCCTTCTGTCTTGTTTTTCTGTTCTAGATCGCTAAACGATTTGAGGGGCCATCTGGTTAAGTGTTAAACGAGTTCATTGACAACACAATGTAAATGCCGCCAAAACCAGGCAAACCGTAAAACCAGGTGAGAAATGAGATCGAATTTTCGATTGTATTTATTTAGCGTCTGTTCCACCTATCAAATCGCAACGCACGACTGCTTAGAGTAATGCTAATTAAGCTAGAGGATGGAGATTAAAACACTAATTAATTACCTCCTAAAATAATAAGCGTAGTATTTATTTAAAAAAATAATGTCAGTAAAATGAGAAACTATATTTTACAGGTAGCTGCGCGTTAATGGAGAAAACAAAACTCCTTAGAAACGGCACACATTTTTTCTGGGATGAAAAAGACCTTGTGTCCTTTTCCATACCCACGACAGCGTGTATGCATAGTTTATTTACGATCAGTTGAGTAGTTAAGGCGTGAAAGCGCAACAAACAAACAGACCAACCCAATTTCGCATTAACAATATTATTATCGATGTCCACTGTCACACCATCTAGAACGCTTAGAACTACAACTAAATATCATAGCAATCGTGAAATACATAGCAAATAATAGCGAGACGAAACGTTACGATAAAACAGTACAAACCATCCATAGTCTGGGGATCGGTCTGTCTCTCGTGAATGATGCGACCTTCTTGCAGAGCCCTGGACGGTATAAGCCCCGCCCTCATAACTCTATCGCCTTCGCGTCTCGCTTGCCACCTAAACAATAAGCCACACCAAAATTCGTCATGTAAAACAATACGTTTATAAATAAATATTTCGCGTTATGAGAAAACAGATGTATTTCGCAATCGATTAAAGAACGCCGCCAGCGATTTCCGATCGGTTATAAGCTTACCAGTAGGCGTCGTCCTGGGAAACGATGTGGAGGATGTCACCCTTCTTAAAATCGAGTCCCGCTTCCTTACAGGGTATATAAGGATCTTCGGACGAATTGTAATCAAATAACGCTCGGACTCTGACTTTGCTTTCCCGCGTACCGCCTTTACCGAATGACGGTACTAATTTAAACGTGATCGTGCCTTCGGAGTTTTGCTGGAACACATATGTACATTATTCGATTTATTGCTTTTATTTATCTAATACTCGTTTATATAAAATTCATATTTGTTTGTCGTCTGTGTTGTTTTGTGTCATTTTATTGTTGGCTCTTCAAGGATAGTTTCTGGTATAGGGCCCTCAACGTACTGTTACGAGGATTTATTAGAAAAATTAAAAAAAAAAAAAAAATGAAAACGTTTGAAACTGACAATTAAAATTAATTGGGGCAAGTGTCACCGGGAGCGCGGTTATAATTGAACTGCGTGATCTATCGGCAACCTAACTAAGCTGCATTACGTTGTGCACCTTATATTGCATTTTTAGATACATTAAGAATATACTAGTGGTCCCGCAGTAGTCGAAATTCGACTATAATTAATTGAAATTGTAAGTTTGTACACTATTATGATTGTATTTTCAAAGACTTATTATACTTCTATAATCACAAATTTCGCCAAGACTACACTATAGAAAAATATTAATAAAGACAAACAATATTTAATCTATTCTCAATTTGAACAGACGTCAAGAACAAAAGTTTGACAATAAATAAATAGTGCGTCAAATACATGTTAGTGTGTGTAATGTTTTATTTATTGATTTAATGTATTTTTTAGGCATAATTTAAAAAAAATATTAACGTTCTGCACTCCTTCTTTATATTCTCTATAAGTGTGGGAAATTTCATACTCCTCCACCCGCGCAATTTTCGTAAAAAAGGGGTACAAAGTTTTTCCTTCACGTATTAATATATAGATAAAAGTACGACAAATGGCGCGACAGTGTCACTTGCAAATGTACTTGATATATTCTGCGACAGTCACAGCAGAGCGAGTTAATTAATTGTCATCATAATATATTGACGAGTGTTCGTCTCGCTGTTTATTGTGCCAAAAATACTTCTTCAGCTATTTGAATGGGGTAAACTTAATTGGCGTTCAATTAAAAATATCGAATTGTCGATGCTAATACCAAATGAAACGGACCTTTAATTACAAAGATAAAAGTCACGTGCTAAGCGAAATATTGCTTAAACTAAATAGCCTTCACCTCTCATTATTAAGAATGTACTATTTGTTTAGAAGCATCTAATTTAAAACGTAATTTATGATTATCTTGATGACGATTTCGTTAGGTCCGTTTTTTGCGTTTGTCGCATCACTAGTTATACGATGTAGCCTACTGAGTTTCTCGATGTGAATCTTCTCAGTGGGTCGCGTTTCCGATCCGATGGTAGATTCTACGAAGCACTGCTCTTGCGAGGGCCAGTGTTAGCAAAACTCCCGGTTTGAGCCCCGTGAGCTCACCCACACGTTAGGGCGAAGCTGAAAACAAGGTTATCAGCACGGGTAGGACAAAATATATATATACGATGCTTACTAATATAGACAAGACATCGGCCGGAGTTTTGTTTTCCACACTGATTCCGTTAACTTCGATGACCTCGTCGCCGGCGTGGATGAGTCCCGATCTATCAGCGGCACCTCCGTGCATCACTCGAGCGATAACTATCTTCCCGGTTTCTTCGTCAGTCTTGATTGTTGCGCCCTGAATTGTAATAGTTAAATTCAATTTCTTTCAAAATAACAATACGTTTCCTTGTTCTCCAGTTTCGTTTAATTAGAAGCTGTAAATGAAAAAAATCGAAAACAGTTTTGTATATTTACCTACATAACGTTGTAGCTCACAGATAATACCCGTTGATTATATATTATGCTTAAATGCAAGTTTGAAGCTGCTTTCAGACTACGCTATAATATAATAGCATATAGTATATAGCTCATAGCACAATAATATCGTGCACCATACATTGTTATGGACACGTTCACACTGTACTGTAGCATATATTATTGACGCTGCTATACTATATGGCACTATAGTATCGCGTAGTCTGAAAGCAACTTTTCTTATTTTAATCTTAAATTAGGACTTATTTGAATTTAATACGCAATGAAAATATCCTTGTCACTGTAAGCTTCAGGTATTTTTAATTCATATTATTCACTTTAAAATTATTAATTAGCTATGCAATTTCTTTACGTAGATTTAGTCAATCTAAAGTACCTACTTACTACATTTTACTTATTATGTTATCAGAGAGCGCCTAAAAGAATTATGATTAACGATTATATGTTATGCAGTGGTTGGCGTTGACAACAACAACGATTAATGGTTGATGGCAGAATAAACTAAATAATGTAAGACTTATTATAAGAAAATATGAGATGCATTTATTTCCCCCCAATAGATGCCTTAATTTTAATTTCCACAATAATTCATGAATTGGGTATTTATTAACCAATTTAACTTATATTTTGCACGTTTTTTATATGTTTTTACTCTGTCATAGTAAATGGTTAGTTGTATAAGGAAAACAGTACGTAAGGTCAGGAATTTAATACTATTTCTTCTTAAGGCAAGAAATAAAATGATGTAATTATAATAGGATGATAGTACCGTATGATATACGTTTCGTATATATAATAGCAATATAATTAATTCAGTTTTGTGAAATACGAATTTTTTAGTCAAAACAGAAGATAAGTTTAAACAATTGTGGCGTGTTCAAACTCGCGGCGAGAAATCGCAGTTTGATGAGAGTACCAATCTACAATATACGATACTCTCACCTGTAATAATAATTAAACATTGTCAGTTCACTGGTTTTTTTTTACTGTGTGCATTTGCAAGAATTCGATTTTGTTCTTTTCCTTCCAATAAACCCTTGAGAAGGGGCCAAAAAATATACACGTTTCTCCGATGACCTACCGTCTTCTCCGCTAGAGTTATAATGCACTTATTAAAATGAACAAAAAGCAACATGTATTGTGTGAAATGAATGAAAAAAAAAACAAAGGAAATGTAGGTTAAAAAAAATACAAATAACACAATACAGATCGCATCACATCTAGAGATAGCAGCTAATAAAGTTTCAATGAGAAGTGACGAGGAGGCAACACCAATAAAATAATATTTTGAGTGCAAAACACATAGAGAGGTCTTGAGGTAGATTTTAACTGAAAAGCATTCCAATACTTAGCATAGTTATTATTATTCTTCATAATACTCACCACAATTGGTTCTGCACTCTGTGCTCCACCCTTCCAATGAAAAATTATGTTCAATACACCATTACAGTTTCGCTTACTATAATATAAATACCTTATCTCAATCTGGGGCTAACATCATATGAAATTTATTTGTTATTTTAGTATCCATTTTTTTCTTTAGACTTAACATTACATAAATGGTAATAAATACCATTGTTTTATTGAAACAAATAAGTAAAACAGTTATATTTTTATATTTACAGTTAGTGTTTGTTTATTCATTACATTCCTGCATGTTTATTTAGCTGCTATTTCTAAATGATTTCATTTTACTTTTATATTTTTAAATTTGATTTTGAATTATCAAAATTTCAAAATATTTATCTATTCCTTACCAATGGTTCATCACTTTTGACTAATTGTACAATCTTTACAGTTTCTTCTTCATCATCAGTATCAGGTGGAATATCAGGTAGATGGGGGTAATAGTCTTTCTGAGCAACTGCATCATGCGTACACAAAATTGCCTAATAAAAAGTAGTTACATTTAAAACCCTAAAGTCGATCTTATATCATAGAGATTTTTTTTTTTTAATAATAAGTTATTACAAAAAGATCAAGCCAATTCAAACAGCCTGGGTGTCAAATTGGGTAATACTCACCTGAAAATGTGGCTTCTGCAATAAACTTAGTAACTCTTCATACTCTTTTGAAATTTTAGTTTTATCACCAAGTACTTCAAAAACCTCAAGTGTAACCTGCATAGCATTTGAGAGTAGAGGATAAAATTTGTCATCCTTGCCTTTAGCCACAATTTTGTTGTGAACATGTACCAAGGCATGCAACTGCTTAGACTGCAGCAGTTCACTAAGAAAAGCCACATCTTCACTACCTGATTGTACCTCTTTCAAAGATGTCAACAAACGTGTGAGTGCTGTAATAGATATAAAAAAATTAAGATAGTGCCTTTCACATGCAAGTGGTGGCCTTACAGTTGCCTTTCATAAATTAGGTGCTATGATCATGTTTAAGCCCACATCATTTAGCTGACCTTTTCTAAATGAAAAAACTCTAATGATTTAGTAATTAGTTAATTAATATATTTAATTAAACATTCAGTTTTATTCTACTTCATTTTTACATTCTGTAGTACATAATATGCAAACTTTAGTCTTCTTTATTTCAATTTTTTATTATTGATTTGAGCATTGAAGTACAATTCTACTCATACTTTATTTATTTAATATTGCTGTGTTTTGTTGGGTATTCAAGAGTTAACCAACAATCATTTTTAATGTACTTGTAATGACTGATTTTTGTTATTTTTAAACCAGCAATTCGAAGATTTTTTTATATTAAGATTTTATTCTCTAATGTGGTTATCAGATGAATTAAATGTCTATAAAATAATCATTTATGTTTAAATACCATTGAGATTTAACTATAGGTATTGCACATACCTGGGTCCCAATTTTCATACGGTGAATCCATGTTCATTTTAATATATACTTTTAAACTTCCTTAAACAAATCGAAAAGCGAGCAAGTTTGAGCAGACAATGACTAAAAAAATTTTTATTTATACGTCCATATTATAACTCATGCATTTTATGTAAATGAAATTTACTTGTATGGATTATGAATTTATGTGAACATATTATGTATTGATAAATTTACACTCATAATTTTATAACTCGTCTAATAATTTATTCTGTATCCTAATATGTAATCCATTTTCCCAAAAGTTAAAGCACACAACTGACAGGCGAGTTATTCAGTCAAACAAATCAATCAATCAAATTAGTCGATCGATAAAAAAATGTAGTGCTCACACTTTCAGTTCAGATTGAACCTTGAATTGAAATAATCTTACCATAGAGTTAACACAGAAACCGTGTGAAAATGTTACTTTACTCTTTTTTGAATGAGTCGGAATGATAGCGGTTTGCCAGAAGACTTTGTATTTAACCGAGATCAATTTAAAGAGGGAGCTCGATTTGTCAGCCAAGAATGGATAGTTTGTGTCGAACTCCTCGACAAGCTCAATAAGTATGGTAACGTGTGCTTTGGCTGTTTTGACTGTTTGACTGTTGCCAGCGTTAGCGCTAGTAGCAGCCAGGTAGTAGTATAACATCGAGAGTGGATTTGGGGGATAGGTACGCAAAATGTGTCTAGAGCATCAACGGTAGATGGGTGCTTAATTAGTTGGGTTGAGGGTGCATTAGGCGACGCAGGTCATAGGAAAAAATCCTGCTGAGGGTAATTAGAATGCTGCGGGAGATAGATTTTACGTGAAAGCGGAAGATCATAAATTCACCCAAGATCGGAATCGCAGATACTTGGCCATCCTGGATCATAATATTAATTGGCTGAAGAACGTGATGCCGGATGTGGAGTATATACAACTAAAACGAGAGTGGTTTCGCATCAAGCTTCTTTTTTGGGAACACCGCTGTCCTTTTCATAGGTTTCAATTCAGTGTGAATTTATTATTTCCTTATACTTATTGCTGCATTCCTGCCCATCACTAGCTCACCAAAAAGCAGCCAGGGGCGATGTACTTGGCAGTACCTTTGAAAGCGTTACACACACCGCGCTTGGGTAGTCGCAGTCGGTGCCTTTTAAGCTAGCACCACCAACGGTTGCCCTTTATCGGCACTTTTCGTAGTTAGCACACGCGTTGGGACACCCTCATAGTGGCAATGATTAAGGACCACCGTTTAACTAACTCATGCATCGCGAGTCCTGGGTTTCGTCCTGTAGCCTATCCGATGATTCGCAAGCTAAGTAAATTGTCCCTTAGAAATAATGCGATACTCTACAAAACTTGTATAGTCCGGTCATGACCTATTTAAGTGCAGTGGCCGCTCACGCGGCTCGCACAAGCTTGAAACCCCTTCAAAAAATACAATCCCGTTTTTACAGGATAGCCGCCGGAACCCCATGGTTCATCTGAAATGTTGATCTCCACGACGATATGGATCTAGAGTACATCAGTAAATATCTACAGTCGGCATCAGTGCGTCATTTCGAGAAAGTAGCAAGACACGAGAACCCTCTCATTGTGGCCGCCGGTAACTATATTCCCGATCCTACGGACTGAATGGTAAGCAGCCGACGTCGCCGGAAACGCTTCATTTCGGATCCTCCCGATACATTAACGACGCTTTTAGATGCCCCAAGCACAGATCATGGTTCTCGTCGAACCCGTCGCTTGTGACGAAGGGCTCGGCGAGTAAATTAATCCACAGACACAGCCCACTGAGTTTCTCACCGGATCTTCTCAGTGGGTCGCGTTTCCGATCCGGTGATAGATTCTACAAAGTACTGCTCTTGCTAGGGTTAGTGTTAGCAATGTTGTCAGGTTTGAGTCCCGTGAGCTCACCTACTACTTAAGGTTACGCTGTAGTCTTGTCTCAAAATAAACAACAAAAACAAAAAAAAGTACTGTGGAACGCCCGCTTCACCCCGCGCTACTGTCATAGACTATAGTAAGAATAAACCAAACGTTTTATAAAGTATCTTTATTGTAAGACCATGTAAGTTAAAATGCATCGAAATCACCACGAGACTATTTATTACTGAAGCACACCAATACTTTTTTGAAGTCTGCTTGAACTTGATGGGCTTGATGGAAAACATCATTAACTTTACTATCTTTGCCATAGCTTGACGCTTTGTATTTATTAAGCTGGCAGCACTAAACAGAATATAATCACAACGGCAACACAAACATTTATTTCCGTGGTCAAAGAGATACGATACATAATTCGCTGAATTTAATATTTTCTAATAATTATGAGACATTTAAATATTAATTTTAGCTAAACTGATTCGAAAAATAACAAGTAAGTAAATAAAATCTTCAGTGTTTTACGCCTTAATGCTAGTTTTGTGATCGTACAAAAAAAGTTCTACCTATTAATCAGTTGTTTCTAAAAATCAATTGCAAGAATACTGTATCAGTTAAGCGTTTTACCTTTTATTCTACCTTTAGTAAAATGTTTTGTATAATCGATTAGGTTTTGCATCGTCTTCTATTTGCATACGAAATCGTAAAATACAATATCGATCGATCAATACTTAGCCGTTTGTTTGCTAATCGGCAATAATACTATGAATAAAAATTTAATAACAACGGGATTTGAAGCATTAGAAACGGCTTCACGCGACGTCCGTATTATTTGAGGAACTCCCGGTAATTATTTAATGATGTCAAATTTATTTAACAATCTGTTAACTTGCAATTTAAATAATTTTATAATAGTGTTGACTATGTAAGCATTATAGCAAACTTTTGGTCGAATTTATGACACTTTAAGCTTAATTTGTTTTTACATCCATTCCATTTACTAATTCTTAGTCCAAACTTACAGATTTTAATATAGTTTAATTCAGTTGTAAATAGCTTTTAAAAATAACTGAGAATAACTCTCTTATGCAGCAATATTGTATAATGACAGACGAACAAGTTGCTCTCTGATATTGACATCTCTGTGGGTTTAAATGAATAATATATTTTGCTACCTGTTGTGAGAATGGTTGAAAGATTTTCCAGTAAAAAAACAGGAAAAAGTGTTTATATGGGTTTTCTGTTATTAAACAATGTTGGGTTCAGGCATGTTGCCTGTACCAAATTTCATGTTAACAATGTTCAAAGTTAGTAGTACCTGATATGAGTCATATAAATATTAATATTTGATGCAAAGTTTCAAGGATTTGGTTCCATTTACAGATGCAATCTTCACTATTTATGTATAATAGAATAGAAAAATAAAAATAAAAAGCTTGTAAAACAGGAAAACTGCAATACTAGATTTTTATAAAAACAATAATATTCACAGAGATACATACAATACTATATATTAAAAAAAAAAAAAAAAAAAATGCAGAAATAATATTTGATCACAAAATAATGTTTGTAATTGTAATGCCTAAGTGTGATGTCATAGTTATTCAAACAATAGCTACTCAAGGACATGATCTGCATAACAATGTTTATGTTGTGGTATCTTTTGATTAACTACTCTATTCCCTACAGGTTAGTTGACACATAAAAATCAAATTGTGGATCAAGTTTAAAACTCACATACATTTTAATTGAAGGTGCCCTAATTATTTTTAACTTTTGTATAGGACAGCTTTCTCTTTAATTTTTGGACACTCCATTGTTGTCATGTACTTTATCTATCTGTAGATAATAAATGCCACATCATTGAATTTTAAGACATAGACTGTTTGTTTTAAACTCAAAATGAAAATTTATCATTCTTGCCGAGTGATTCTTAACCTTATTCCTTGATAAGATTATATCGGAAGTTGAAGTGCAGGCTCTAATCTGATAAGTTATATAGACAGATTAATGATGCAGCCTAAATGGTTAAGAATTTCATATTATAACATTTATAGGATATTGTAAAAACTGTTGTAAAAGTAGAATTATATTATTAATTAATAAGGTAGATTTATATTGTTTATTATTTACTTAATACTTATTATATAACTTAATATTCCAATACTTGAAATTAGTATTCATATTCCAAATGATAGTAATAGATTAAGTTATATTCAGTGTATGTTTTTCCCATTTTAATGAATACATCATAGCATGTATATATTCTATCAGGACCTCTGATTTCTAATCAATTATTTAAAAAACCTGTGTGCTTATTTCTGAAGCTCGAAGCTGTTGCGCTTTTCTCCATATGTGTATAACTTCAGTAGTGTTTCAGGTATAGGCATGGTGGTAGGTAATGCTATCAGTTTTGATCTACAGGGAGTTTAGTGAACATGTGATTTTTTCCCATCAACATGAATTACTACTATCAACCTTAACACTATAATAATATTTTGAGATATAATTGTATATAAATGAACATAATTTATGTGATGCACCAACTACTGTTTTGACGGGAACTCTGATTTCATAAGGGAAATATTGATGGCATTTGCTTATCAATTCTGTTAATAATGAAACAAAAACATTAAATCTCCTAGTAATTTGCATCAATAAATATTAAATATACCATCTGAGCTACAAGATTAAATTTTGAACATTCTTTTGAATTAATTTTTTTATTATTTAATTTCAAACTACTATCTGATCATGTTCTGCTGTGATTATTAACAATTTGTATGAAAATAATACTGCAATTTCGAAAGACAAAAATCTTTCATATAAACCTTGTCGAGACTGTTACGGACAGCAAAAAAGAAATAATTTTAATCGATCAAATAATTCTCAAGTGATAGATACTCCATCACAAATGCAGGAATTGAAAAAAACAAAAAAAAAATATCGCGTTATTCTTCTTAATAAATTGTTGTTTCTTAGTCTTTCCTGTCTCTAGAAAAATAACTTTTTAGCTCGACATTACATGTAGAAATTTGATGACAATACAGTTACAATACTGCCATAACTCTGAAACTAGTCATGCAGCATTTTGCCTCTAATATTAATAAAATTCATGGCCATGGTAAATTATAAAATAAATTAGAGAAATCCCGGCCTCTTTGAACGACTGCTACTACTCCTCATCATCACGAGTTAGTGTTGTCATCTTTTTTTTGCTGATTTTCTTGCATCTGAGGTTTCCAATTACTATAACAAGAAGGGCGGTGGCGTTAACATTGTTTTATTTAGTTGTCCATCGAATGTAATAAAAAGTAAAGTATTTTTTCAATTCTTTGTTATCAATTAATTTATAATTTTATCAAAAAAAAGTATTAAAAAAATAGTACGCCGGTCAAAATGTTAAAATGTATAATGGTTGATTTCGATTCATTGATTTGTATAGCTGCGTAAATATTACGCGGAGGTAGCCTCGTCTCTTATTACCGGGTATTGCTTAAGTCGAAACATTAAAATACTGCATAGGTATTCACTGAAATGTCTCTCATATAACCTGGTTTCACCAGTGTATGCATTGATTAATAATGTAAATGTATTGTGTATAGAATAATTGGAACAGTTCATACATTCCGTTCTATACTTGCCTTAAATTGTAACTATGCTGTTGATGATAAATTTGTTTAGTTTTTTTAATTGTTATGAAACAGACACAAGAGATGCTACATGCCGGGCGCTCAATCGGTAATTAAGCCGGCGTCGGCGGGCGAATTCTCAGCTTCCGACGAAGAATCTCAACTTCAAGTTTACCTGGAGCAACAACTGGAGGAGGATGTAGCCAGGTAAATATTAAGTAATTTCTCAATTTAATAATTATGTATTAGAAGATTTCTTTTTGCGCTTTTGAAATGTTTCATTTTGTTGATGATAAATTAACTTTTTTGCTGAAATTGTTTGTGTATTATTTTGATTTCATTTATATCTTTATGTATGTACTTCTATATGTATATTATTATAAAGCGCGGCAATCGAAATTGTACAATATAATGAACCTCTTTGTTTTTATTTAAAGTTGGCTAATCAAAGCTTGGTATAATTATAGAGCCATCAGAACATTTGATGACTTTATATGATGACGTCATAGATTTTTAAATGTAAATAGTTTTATTTTCAACCATCAGCGTTATTTTTAGAATGTCAGCGTTTTTCAACATTATAAGTTATAATCGATACGTCTAAATTATAACTATTGAATCATGAAATTTGCATGCATCAAATTATTGATCTTTAAATGACGATATACAGAGTATAAAAAGAGGAAAATAATATTGTATGTTAATTTAAGATTCCATTTAGCAAACGAGATTCAATGATATAATAGATTTGATGCTAATAAAAATGTAGTTTGTTTTTTGAAGCATAAATTATTGACAAAAACACATTTGTTACAGAATATTTGATGAGTCTATATATTCTGATATTGAGCTGGTGTGTGGAAAATTAAAAATACTAACACATTCTTGTATTCTTGAGACTCGCACACGTAAATTTTATCACGAACTTAAAAACATATTGCATGTGAATTTCGGACGCGATTCATATGACGAAATATATTCATTCATAAGGTATGAAACGACTTTGAGTACTAGAAACTGAGGCAAAATTAATTGAGAGTATTGTGATGTTTTTGTATTTTGTGAATTTTGTTACAGTGACATATATACTGAATGTGATATACAAGAACAGGAAAAAGAAATAATAAGCTATTTAAGCAAGCAAGTTACGAAACTAGAATCACTGGCAGATTGCGTGAATAAAACGAAAATAGACCTAGAGGAGGTTGCTGCGTTTGAAATACCCGATTGCAGTATTAGTTCGTACCCTGAAAAAGCGATATCCGAAATAACAGGCTCTAGTCCGAGTACTGAATTGACAAAAGAATACTATGCGCTAGTGCCTATAGCTGATAATTTATTAGAAAAAGAACTTGACGAACAGGACGCTCTATCGAATGCTTTTATATCCATAAAAAAAACTCAAATTGAAGATAAAATCGAAAACAAAGCTTCTCAACCAGTAAAACCTACTTCTTTATCGCTTTCTAGTCACATTTCCAAATCAGACAAACATTCCGCTTCTTGTGATATCACTTGTCCAGTGACAGATAATGGATTAAAATTCGAAAAGAACCACACACATAATCCAATAACACGCACTAGTCAAGAAACTAAATCGAATCAGTATTTTATAAATAGCGATCACCATTGCAAGCATTCAATTTTTTATGAGTCCACGAGTGAGAAAATATATGATATAGCGTATTCACCTGACAGTTTAATAGCTGATGATCCAAGCAGTTCATCTGATTATTTGTCTGCAACGTTTACCTGTTCTCCTGTGGCTAGCTGCACTGGCTGCCATACGCACTTAAATGTTTACGATAGCAATCCTAAAATGGATAACATTATTACAATATCAGATTCCGGAATGGAAAACACCGGTATGCTGGAGAGTTTAAGCAGCCATAAAGATGTAACTTTAACGGACATATCGTTGACTGAAAGCACGTTGCATGACTCCGTAGCTGATGAAGCCAGTAACTCTAATGATTCTGCGCACAGTCCGTTGTTAGAAAGGCGAGATTTTCTAAAACTACAGTGTCGTAATGCACCCCAGTCAGCTTCGTCCAGTGGAATTTCTACAGATAAAGAAAGCTATCAAACAACCAAGCCTAGTCAGTTTAAAGAACTAATCAGCGGACGATCATCGAAAGAGGAGAAACAAAGACAGAACGAAGAAATCGTTATATTAGAGTCATCATCATTATCGTCAGAGACTGGTTCATGGGAATCTGTTTTTCCACCGAAAGTGTCTGAAAAGAAACAAACTGGTAACTGCTCTAAAACTGAACACGAACTTCTCAGTGAAGATGCAAATACGGAAAATCCAATAAATAAATTTAGTACAGATATCCCCAGTGGTACACAATATTCAGGCTTAGCGCAGAAATCTGTAAAGACAACATCATGTTTCATAGACGCTGCGAGTTTAGTTGAAGAAGAAAGTGATGCACCTCCCCCTGTATGTACTAAATCTCACGACCTGACATTCGACACAACGGTGCCTCAGAGTCGTCCAGTTCCTTGCTCCACTAACAAAATAGATATGAGCCCTAATGATTGGTCTGAAAGTAACGATAACGATGATTCCTTAGAACAAACTGAACAAAAGGATCTTGATTCAATCCAGAAAGATTTGTCTCCGACCATTTTCGAAATGACTCCTATAACCGAAGATTCTTTATGTACTAAAGCCTTTGTAGAACCAACGCAAGGCGAAGAAACAGTTGATGATAAACAGAGTAATTTAGATTCTATTAGTAAGGAAACTATTTGTCTGCAAGAAACCTTTATGACTTCGACGCCTAATAATTCTATTATGTCCGTAAAAGATTCTGGATTCCATGGGTACAGTGAAGATGAAGCTCAATGCAGTTCTATTAATAAAGATTACGACGTTACGAAAAAAATTAAAGCCCATAAATTTTTCGAATACTCACCTATAGTCTCGGGTGGCGCGTCCGTAGAAGATTTCCCTCCACAAATGCCTGGAAGTAAAACAGGTAGCCCATCAACAAAACGCAAAATAGAAAATATACCAATTGTATCAGGTGGTTACATCCCAGAAAGAACAGAGGAAGTAAATCAAGTTACAAGAAGTAAAGTAAAACTATCGTCTTCGTCAGCTTGGGTGGTCGATATGTCCGGTGGAGCGAAATTAAATAGTGAAACATCTAACGTTTCTCAAACATCGAAGAGACCTAACGAAAAAACTTGTGAAAATTTAAAGGTCGCCTTGAATAGTAATCTCGAGAATTGCAATAAAAGTCGAAGTTCAGTGGATTCGGACAGTAGTGAAAAATCCAGTCATAAATTTTATATAGATTTGGCAAGTTTGCCTGATCCTTTGCCATGTAAAAAAAGCGAAGACACTGATAGTCTAAACGAGAAAAAAAATATTTTCACAATGTACATAGATATAGGTGAAAATGGAAAACTAAAAGAGATGCCTCCTAGGCTATCTTTAAATACAAAGAAGAACGCCAGTACATCGTCTAATGGAAAATGTGAAGTACAATCTAAATCTGTTGTATCGGAAGAAAGCGACAAACATAAACCATTGTCAAACTTATCGACCTTCGAAAAGTTAGAGTCGCTTTGTAACGACCCAAACATCAGCATACTAGAAATAATAAAGATTCCAGAGAAGAAATCTTCCGATATTTCTGAAGTCAATGATCTTCCATCGATTGAAATAGTTAAAGAAGATAATTCCAAAATAGAAACGTCCTCATTACGTTCTATAACGGCTACAATTCAAGAGGAGGTCGTTTGTGGAGACGAAATAAATGATTCATCAGATCTGTTCGTCAAACTATCTGATTTGGATAAACCCGTAACAAGAATGGACATTGATATACCAGTTACGAAGAAAACACTATCTGCTTCTGTAAGTGAAGATAAGACGAGAGATTCTCGAATGACCAGATCGATTCCCGATAACAATTGGACCAATCAAACACTCTCGGTTAATTCAAGATCTATTGACATAATTAGTTCCTTTCATTCCGAAAACGCTTTAAGTCTGAACCGATTGTTTCCTCATTTGAAGAATGAATTCAGTAGAAGCGTGCCTGTTTCGCTGTCGAGTCGGACGCGGTCTCCTTTGCGGCTAGGGACTCCATCGAGCACCTTGGAGGCTCTCGATCAAACATCCGACACGTCCGAAGTCAGTAGCGTACAGAGTAGTATGTGTCGTTCAGTCGTCGGTGAGTTGATTAATATTTAGTCTAAATATGATCATTTATAACAGATTATCCTTGTTCTTTATGAAATATTGTTTTATTTCAGAGAACAGTACGACGGAGGAAAGCTGTCAAACTTCCAGTTTAATAGGTAGCTGCCAGTCTCGGCTCGGTCAGGACTTGTTACGGATGTTTCTAGAAGAGATAGCGCCTGATGTGGTAGTCGAGGTGTCCGGGAAAAGAATCAAAGCACACAAATGTATTTTATCATCTAGGTATTTAATCATTTTCCCTTCAAACTCACACAATACAATTATTTTTATTCACACACAATATATCTCCGCAATAACCTATACAAATAGAAATACGGCAATTCTCTATTAAATACAATAAAATAATGTGTCGTCATACAGTGATTCTATAAAAACTTGTTTTTTTTTATGTCTCGTCTAGTTTATGCGTATTTATAGCATATTAGCGAACGATTCATGCGATAAAGGGATAACATCTGGTAATACTAATATTAATAATGCAAAATTTTTAAATTTACTCTTTATTATTGGTTATTGAACCCGCATTGATAAGTGCAAACCACCGTTACGTTTATATTTGCGACTGAATCAGTCGTGCGTTCCGGTTATAAGGGTGTGATTATCGTCATACAATACAATTGATACTTCAATGTCGTGTCTCAAGCAGGAAGGCAGCGTTCGAAGCGCCATTTCTATAGGAGCCGTCAATCAGTTAAGACGAGTTGAACTGTGAGCTCGGACACGGAATAAAAAAAATAGGCTGAATATTTACTATAACTGGCTCATTGCTTACATTAGTTTCTGTAGATGCATTTTAAAGATCACGTTGCGCTTACAATGCGTAATTTAGTGTTGAAAATAAACTGTCTTATTAAGCCTTTAAACATTGAAACGTAACACAAAAATATGAATCGTTCTCTAATTAATTGATTAAGTTTGTTCCATATTCGTGTAGCTAAATATTAATATTAAATTTATTTCACTGTGTAAATACTCTGACTTCAATAACAGATTATTGTAATACGATCTATTTTTAATTAGCGATTAGTTGAAAGCGTTTTAAATGTTTTAGATGTCAATTCTTTGCCGGAATACTTAGTGGTGGATGGGTTGAGAGCGCTGGAAACGTCATAGCATTGCCATCGTGAGTAAAAACAAAATTACATATTCGTGTACAGATAAAATATAACTGTTAGTGTTGCCAGTGATTTAATAAAGTTATGACTTACAGCTTCTCATACAATGTGGTACATTTCGCTATGTGTCACATATACTCGGGCCTGTCGGCTATACCAGACACGATTAGCATCCTGGAACTAGCCACCCTTGCGGACATGCTGGGCCTCGAAGGACTCAAAGAAGCTATAATGTTTACTCTGAAAACTAAATACTGTCATCATTTCCACAGGGTACGTTTTGTTTACTGAAAAACTATACTGTTATATATTATATTGTATCTATACTGAGTTCCTTAGAACTTATATCTCAAGGTGGATGGCGCATTTACGTCGTAAATGTCTATGGGCTCCAGTAACCACTTAACACCAGGTGGGCTGTGAGCTCGTCCAAGCATTTAAGCAATAAAAAAATGCTTTATGAGAAATACTTATATTTGTCGTTTAAGAATACTAAAATAATTATCGTTTTTCTGAGTTGAGTCAATAAACTATCTCTTTGCAAAATAATTTCGAACCGTTTCTAATATTGCGCATAAAATAAAAATAAAAATACTTGAAATAATGTCCGTTCGGAACACATTCGTGTTCAAAGTATTACTATTTCGTCAATATGAAGTTGGTCGTCAATGATAGTTAAGCATGAGGCTAATCAATGCTTTCGATTTATGAAATTTGCATGTTTTTATAGATATTAATTACTAAAATATAATATATAGGTAGCTATCTTGTGTGTACATAGTGCACATACACCTATTTTATCTGTACTAGTGGTTCCACAATGAAATTATAAGCTTGAAACTCATTAAGGTTTTATTGTCAAAGACTAATTATACTTCTGTAATCACAATTTCACTAAGACTACACTATAGACAAATATTAATAAAGATAATATTAATCTATTCTCAATTTGGCCACAGACTTTAAGCAATGACAAAAGTTTGACAGTAAATAAAGGGTGTATATATATATGTGTGTGTGTCAAATAATAATAATAAATATAATAATAATAATAAATATTTACTAACAATCACGCCACGTTAACTAGTCCCGTGATAAGTTCGTAAAGAACTTGTGTTACAGGTACCAGATAACGGATATAAATGTAAGATTTTTATTATACACATACATATATTTAATATACATCCATAACCCTGGAAAAGACATTTATATTTATCATACAAATATCTTCCCTTGGCGGGATTCGAACCCGCGACCCCCTTGTGTAGTGACCATGTCACTTACCACTACACCAGACGGCCGTTGACATACATATATGCTACTATATATATATACTACGTTGAATACATGGTAGTAGTGTGTGTAATGCTTTTTTTATTGATTTAATGTATTATTAATGCATAATTTTAAAAAAATATTACCATTCTGCACTCCTCTATATTTTCTATAAGTGTGGGAAATTTCATAATCCTCCGTCCGCGCAATTTGCGTAAAAAGGTGTACAAAGTTTTTCACGTATTAATATATAGAAAATGTAATTCTGTTCTTAATTCGAAATCTGTATCATTACAGCCGTGTCCAGTGTGCGTTGCCGGAGTTCTAGAATGTTTTCCACTATCATCGGCCTATGGACTCGACGATCTGTATCGCAAGTGCTTGAGGTGGATTACGAAGTACTTCATCAAGGTCTGGCCGACGAAGGCCTTTGCTACGTTACCATCGGAGTTGATCGAGAAATGCTATCAACAGCACGTTGTAAATTTGAGCACAGATAATCTCGTCGACACGGTTTATGGTTGCAGCGCGATAGGTAAGTTTCAATTGCTTTTGCTGTGATTATTATTCCTGTTTTGATGTTGATAACTAGACTAGTTTATTAGCTATTTGAAGTTAAGCGGGTTTCCGAACCTACAGGAATGCTGATGGGATGGTGGAATTACCTATGGGCTTACATTGATTCGTCACCAAATATCAGCATGGATATGTACTGTTTTCTTAGTCGTCTTTAAAATAAAATTACAATTTAAACCGTCTGTATTTTATTTTTTTAATTTGTCGTAAGTTTCTCATATTTAAATATATAAATGAGTTTAACATATTCATGTATGAATGTTGTTTCAACAGTGGCTTCCTTGCAAAACATAAGGTGGGCGGAGACGGTGGCTCGTTTGTGTCGTCGATTAGTGAACGCGGCCGCTCATTTCGCTGCTCCTCGACTAGTTGCGGTACTCCAAGACATCGCCAATATGGCTCCGGACGCTCCACCGCCCGCGAAGCAAGCTCTGATGGACTGCATCGCCGCCGCTATAGAATGGGCGCCGCCGGACGAGGGATGCCGCGCCTATGCTCTTCTGTCTGATTTGGTCCGAGACATCAAACTGCACAGCTCGGGCTCGAACAATCTCCTTCACAGCCACGCGGCCAATTGGCGTATGCAATGTGAAGGCGCATTAGTGCGAGCCGCTCCACGCGTCGTCGGTACTCAAGCCTTCCAAGACCTGCCCACGGACCTGCGCAGGAGATTACGCGAACTCGGTTGTATTATGTACGGAACGCAGGCCATACCCGTGACGACTTCACCGTACCACGAACGCAAGAGTCGGAGTACGTATCACAACAAGGCCAGTAAGACGCATAACACGAAGACGAGTCGCAGTTTAGATATTGATCACGTCCGAGCATCGTTCGTACCGTACGCTCCAAAACCGGCGACGCATATCAGTTCCGTCGATATACTGAAGAACGTTCCCGATTTGAAAGATGCGAAAAAATTAACTACCCGCACCAAACCGCCGAAGGTGAGGACCACGAAGGCACAAGAGGAACGAGCCAAATACAATATGACGAAAAATATTCAATCGGTGAACCAGGTGAACGGTAAGACCGGACATCCGCCGATACGGACGTTCGAAAACACGAAACCGAGATACCTAGAGCCGCGCCCGTGTAAAGAAAACGATAAAAAAACGACAGCGCCGAACAAACTGGTCCCTAAAATGGTATCGTCCAGCGAATCGTCCCGGAACTCTAGTCCGATCCAAGTCAGGAATCTACGCACAACTCGAATGAAGACCCGACAGGGGCTCGAAGTTAAAACGCACGCGATGTCGCAGGACAGCTTGGCGACCTCGTCACGACCGCGCACCGCCGAACCATCCACAGACTCCCTGAGCGAGTCGCAAAATAGCAACAAATACGCCACCTACACCAAGATTAAGCACTCCAAGGGATCTATTGAATGTGAGTCTGATTTCGCATAAATATTACTAAAAAACCCACTTAGTTTCGCGCCGGGTCTTCTTAGATGGTTGGGATATCATTGAATCAACATTCTTGATAGGGCTAGTGTCAGCAATTCTCCCAGGTTGGGCCCGTGAGCTCATCTACTAGTCCGAGCGTAGTTGGAATATCTCCTTAGGCTATCAGCGATTAGGTAAGGATAAAAATTATTAACAATCTCAATCCGGAAATAAGAGACCTTGATGGGAATATTCCGGATTTCTTCATTATTCTTGTTTAACGAGCAACATTCCGCCTGGCTTTGAGTGGTCATTGTTTGGTCTAATTTTCAATTTCTATTGCACTACGGCTGCATTCATAATGTGTCTATGACACACTCTTCGTCCATTTAATAATACTATTTATTTTTAATCTTATATCGAGATGCACTTTGGATAGTATTTGTTTCATTATAATTAATGTTTATGTATATACAGAATATTAATTGAAAATTATTAGTGAATAATAGTACTAAATATTGTAAAAAAGATGTGAAAAAATGGTATGCGGTTGCTTGTTATTATACCGGACTCAAGTAAACGCTTATCGAACGAATTTTCTTAAAAATAATTGAAATTAAGTTTCCAAATACAGTGATCTCTTAATAATCAACGTCTGGGATATATATGTGTATTAATTTAATACTTTTTGATGATGACAGAAACATTGCAAACAATTCGTCAGAACACTCGCCGAGACGCAGTATGTTCCACGTGAAGTGCTCTGAAGAATTGTTTTAGGTGATTTCGATTTCTACCATTGCACCATATGCCATCAGAGCAGAGTATATGCCCATTCCGGTCACAGCTGGAAGTTCATTGCAGTCATCCAACAGTGCTTTTCCAGATATAATTTTCACTCACGTCGCTTCTGGCTTCGTAAGAACTCCCTTCCTCACTTACTCTTTTCGTACTACCCTCTCTCACTTACGATACAAGTAAGCTGAAGGTTCGTGATCGATGATAAAATAATAATAATAATAACGTCGTATTCTTTACCTTTGCAGCTATCAAATCAAGATGTCATAATGTTACGCAACCTACTATTAACACGCAATGCAAGATAAAAACGAAAATCCCCGTTTCGCTGAATCAAAACTACAGGGCGATTAACACTGAAAACAAGAGCGTTGCTGAGGCGCAAAAGCGCAGCCCTGGTTGTCCCGCCACAAATGGAACGACCCGACCACGCATGAAATCCGTCGAGAAAAAAATTACGGGCTCCCTGATGAACGCCACTAAATCCAGCTCGGCGAAAATAGTGCCCAAGGTCATAAAAGAGTCCCACACCAACAAATGTCCGAGCAAAAGTAGAACGGCTCGTAACTCGAGTAAAGAGCACGAAGCACCCGCTGAAATTCCTTTGATGGAACGTTCTGGGACCTTCTTAAAGGACGAACCCACCTTTGGAGATAAAACGACTAACATAGATATAGACTAGTAGAATTTCCCAGGATGATGTCCTGATTTCTTGCTTCAGTAGAAAACTGTCCATTTATCTTTAGATATAGGAGTGGCACACTCGACTTAGGAGTCGACATTTTATTACAATAGTCACGGCTTAAGTAATTTATATTACCTTTTCATTTGGCTAGTACTTATTCTCTTCATACGTAAGACTCAAATAGGGTGCAAATCTATTTTTATTAGCTACGGATAGTTGAACTTAATGTAGTGAAGTAAGCGTGCCTGTATTTTGTAATTAGTATTGCTCTCACCATTTACGAATGTAGACCACGAATTATTTATTGATGTAACTGTTGCCATTCGTACATTTAGTATTATTTATTTTTAAATTTAGTGTTTAAACACTTGAATTGAATGTATTAGGTTTTTTTTTCTCATACATAGAAATGAATACATGTATATTTATTTGGTTGTTAGTTCGTGTTCTAAAAGTACGCGCGTCGTTTGTATTATTGAGTTGAAGCTTTGTAGTTGCTGGATACATAGGACTGGCATTTTATTATCGAAGTATATACAATAGATGGCGCGCGAGTCGTACGAAAAAATAAGTATTTCATATAAATGTTTAGTCAAAGAGAAGTGTAGCCGACATTCAGTAATTTATAATTATTATTGTAGTACACATGCTGCTACTAGTAAAAGTATTTATTAATTGTTAATATGTTTTAGATTAAGTGCACACCTATCATTTTGAAATGATAAGAAATTCTATTCTATGGATTCGGAACAACTTTTGAGGAAACGTAAAAGTTGATTTATATATTTATTAATTATAATTGCTTGCCCGTTGGATATAGATAACAAAATTGAAGCAATTAAATTGTTGATTTAAAATTTTACACAACTGTTGATATGATAAACAGAGAATTGAAATCTTAACACAAGAAATCATTTTGCAGTCTCCGTCTTACATTGACGAAATTGTGAAAAGAGATTTGCGTTGAAACTTTGCCTTGTCTGAACACACAGACAAGTGCGTGTTTTGACTGTAATTCGTAGCGTCATGCTTGAGAACTCTGGTATCCGTGTTGGCGAATATTGCATTTTTTCGAATAAAAATGTTCACTTTAATGCAACCGAAGGAAGGTGTGGATTTAAAGCACGCTTTCTATCGCTTCATACAAAAATACTTAAAAAATATATTTATATATTGTCGGTTCCTCTTGAATCTTTAACTGTTTGCAACCGTTCACTCGAAGAACGGTTTATTGTTATATGCAGCAATTTAGTTGCTATGTATATAAATGACACATCCCAGAGAATCGCTGGCGGTTCTCTCGTTCATATACTCATGTATTCACGCAATATCTTTGTGAACGTATTCTTCGGAAATCTGGATGGAAGCCGGAATTTAGATGATCATTCTTAGCTTTTTGTCTATTATTCCAAGTTTTTCACCTTGACCTCTACAGCAAGACAACATTCTTGTCAATATCTCCGTCCTATGGTACAGAAAAATTATCAGCGTGTTTGCAAGATACAAAAAGAAGGCAATTTTTTCATACTTTTTATTTATTGGAAATAAAACCATGAGTATCATTGTTAAATAGATGAGAATGTAAAAAAGATGTTTATGGCTTCAACGTTAATGTATTCAATGGGCAAGAATGGTATCGTACACTTATCAGGCTTAATTTTATTAAAACCTGAAACATTGAAGTTCCCAGCAGCAAATAATAGTATTTTTATTTTATCCGATTATTTGCTTTGCTAAGAAACTTTTTGCTTCATTGTTGTATCTCGTTATATTAATTCAACTGTGTAAATTATATATTATAATACAAAAGAGCTTGGTGTGTTTTCTTTGAAAACTGAGAACACAATGCTTTTTGCAGTGAACTGGAATTGATTCAATTACAGTGTACCTACATACATTTTTCATAATTAATACCCAGGTGTGGGGTAATCGTTCCATTCCTTTATGTAATATACACGGTATTTTAAAATAGTTCCCAACAATGAATACAGTGTCAGTGCAGCAATAGTGTTTTTTTTATTTTTTTATTAGCGAATATAAAAAAAAAGTGATAAAAATAATCAATGCAATAAGCACTACAGTGCCATTCAAAAATGAAATATCAATTAAAAACAGTTGACAGACTTAATAATACAAAGGTCCGAACGCTAGTTTTACATTTCACTTTAATATAAATATGTACTGAAAGCAAACAATTACGTTGCAAATGAATATTATTGTTTTTCGCTTATTTGTGGGTAGTTGAGCATTGATTCTCCTAGCTTCTGGAACGGCTACCTCACGCCCGGTGGTATATGGATTTGACATGAATTTTTACAATTCAGTAAATTAATTACGATTATCATTAATTTTAATCACTGGATCATATCTATGTGTTTAGGACATACAATATTTTTGAATAGATCAACGACTGTATAAAATGCCTAAAGATGTTGGACCACTATAATATAAATAGAATCTCTTTCGTTCACTACATTACTGTAGTAATTAGATGGTTTAACATAGGATTTCTTTGGTATTAATATTATTTAAAATAAATTAAATACTGCAATATATTGATTATTTTAAATTTTAATCTTTCTATTTTTTTAATGTATTTAATATTTAAGTTTGAATTTTCAAAATGATCTCAAAGGTATTCAATTTAAAAGTTTTCATGTTTAAATAGGCCATTGTCACGTTATTATTTTAAGCAATGTTTATATGATATTAATTAAACAAAATAGAGCTTAAGTTGATATTATTAGAGATTCATTGTATTTGTAATCTTGACTAGTTAAACTTTTTGTATTTTAGAGTTTTATTGGTTTGGCGAATGTAAAAAAAGCTGATTTTTATGTATGACTTATTTTTAGGTAAAACATGTTTTCATGTAAAAATAATATAGTATGTATTCTTGTTGACAAAATATCTATTGTAATGAAATAAAGAAATATCAACTTTACATTATTGTATTTTTTTTGTGATAAGGGTCAGAATAATTAATAGAGTGCTCAAGTGGCATAGTTTTCTTTTACGTTGTGATCAGCATTATAACGAAGATTTATTTTTGTATGATTAAACGACTGTTGTGAGACATCTAAAAAAATTAGAAGAAACTTTTTAAATCATAATGTGATCGTCAGAATTTAACATCTCAATTTACATTCCGAAACTCACGAACGCATTTCGCTACGCATCTATCTTGTTTTTTTTGTCAATTTGGTGGTCGGATTTTAGCGATGCCACTGTCGCCAGAACCTGGTTATTTTTTTTCAGTATGACAATTCAATTCAATATGACTTCTTGCGATACCATTGTTGCTAAGTTCGAAAAAATCATTAAATATTATATATACTTAGTCTGGCCATAAATACTGTTACAATTAAAAATAAACAAAATATTACATTTGAATTTGGAATATGTAATTTTTTTTTTTACTCTTTTTCTTTAGTTTTTTTTCATTTACAAAATTACCAAGTTCATTTTTATACACGATATCGATAGGAATATACCGGTCGTCTTATGCTTTAGAGTTTAAACTACAGCTTCTAATGCTTCTTAAGATTACTATAAAACAGACGCAACGTCTAAAAAAAGGCAAGTGTTTAATGTTTGGCGCGTAATGCAACAAAATAAAAATCGTCTAGAAAAGCAGGATCTATCTTCTAAAGGAAACGAGAGCACCGCCACATATTTTCTAAAAAATAAACATACTAAAACAAGTGACATATTTGTGTTTAGCTTAGTAATATTCTCGGGTGTGATCGTCTTACACCGTGTAAATTCTCGAATACTCTTGAGAATACGTCGAGCCATCTCTTTTTTATCAATACTCTGTGGGAACACCTTTTCAAGAATAAGGTTTGGTAGTGCTGAAAATTGTTTTAAAAAAGGCGATCTAAATTTATTTCGCAGGAACAGTATTTAATATACAGTATTTTGCGCTGCACGCATCACATTGTAAATCGGTTGACGCGCTTTCATGGTGAGACGTTCGCCAGCTGCCTTCAGTTTTAAACAAACACAGACTTACAAAAATTAAAAGTATTATTTCTACTCAGCTAAGTATAAATTTAATCAAAATACTGTTCGGAGAAATGTTTTCGCTTAAGTTCACGTGCTCTCGGTTTCTTCAAACTTTTCGGTTTGGGAAACATTACCTTACGCCTTGTGGGTTATCCAGCGTGTCCTATGGATTCTGAAAATAGTGAAAATTTTCATAATGCAAAATACTCTCAGATAAGGCTTGGAATAAACGGTATTTTGCTCATCTCAAATTAGCCCGAAACTAGATACCTACCATTTCTGAAAATAAACATCTAGTATTTTGTACTTTATTGAATCGTCAAAAATAGCATCAATCTATAAAGCATCAGCATAGAATTTTCATTGTATTATATGTAGACCATAATTATGGCAATGGGTAGATACCCATAGGTATGAATATGATTAAAATTAAGTCATAAATTAAGTCTTTTATTCAGAAAAAACTATACAATACAGCATAATAGTTTAAATATAACAACAATATCGTCAGGAAAATTTAAATTTCATATTGTTAAATAAAATAAAACTAGTACAGAGGATGGCGCATACGGCCATCATCAAATCCTAAAAATAAATTAAATGTTACAAAGCATAAATGATGAAATAGATATTTCCAACGTTAAGATGCGATTTTAGGATTGAGTGAAATCCAAGATGTTATAGATGCAGATTGTTCAGTGAGAAAAAAAAGGTTAGACCAAAGAAAACACCAAAATTACATAGTTATCCTTCAAGTTTTTATAATCACAGGCGAACGATAATTTATAGAGATGCTATAACGCCGTTTCCCAATTTTTCACACGGAACGAATGTTTAAACTGCGTAAGAAAACAGCAATCAGTGAGAGACAAATTTGCACTCGCACCCGCGGTTTCACTCTTAGCTTCATATAATGTCAATGGGTTTTAACAACACGTATTTAACAAGACCGAGGAAACTAGAAACATACAATTCTTTTAATTACAATCAAACCACCACTTGGAAAGTAAATTAAAAATGCAGTGAAATTTTCTAAATATATTTGAAGTAAACTACTATAAAAATGTGCTATGAAAAATGACAAACAAACCACGCTCAAGTTACAATGTAATTTCTTATATATTCGTAAACCTCTCTTCACATATATAATAATATGTATGTTATTATTAGCTGAGCTTTCAATCCAACTAAAATCAGATAATTTTTAAATCATTGATTGCGAACTAATGCTAAACAGGTACGTTTTGATAGCATGTACACATTATTTTAAGGCTCAGCTAAAGCCAGACTGGCCGCGTTAAAACCCTATAGAAAATGTTGAAAGCGTCTCCTCACTCACTGCCTATTAATCACTCCCGGCACATTCTAATTATGTTACACAATAAAAACTTCTTAAGATCAATATTGCTGCATTAATCTGTAAAAGTAGAAAATACGTTCAAACTCTCGCAAGATAATAAAACAATACTTTACAAAAATCTACAATTTCGAATTTAAGAGTCGCTAATATTATCGTTACGATTAATTTACAATGTTTCGTTGTGGTTGTTTTAAAATTCCGCAAGTAAACATGTTCCAATACAATTTGTTAATACAAGCAACGACCAATGTACAAAATTTACGACTTTTCATGTAATATTATATAAAAGCCCAATAATAATAGGTCTGAAATTTTAATTTTAACTCTAAGAAAATTACGTTGTCTTCATTACTTATAATAACTCGTGTGCATATTTTATTAACAAATGTAATCGAAACATTTACATTGAGTAATCGGCTAGAGTAACATCTATGAAACATTAATTCGTGGTGGCACGCTTCAAAAATAATGTTGTGAAACAATTCGACTTTGAAATTAGGTTGATGAACCTGAAATTAAGTTTTATCGTTGCTTAAGGCCTTTGCGTAGAGCCATTTAATTTTTTCACAGTTTTATATCTTACAAATGGTAAATTTCTGTTGCTATTTAACTAAGAGAATTTATGGTCAATTAACATGTAGTAGTGTTTTGACATGAAATGAAATTCACTAAAAACATTTTATTCAGAGCATTTCTGCTTCGGTCGATTTTCTATTAGTATATTTTCCTATTATTGAGTCAACTTTTTAGTTTTTCAACGTCAATTAACGGACTATGGCAGTTTTATTTTCATCTGTTAACACTTCACTTGGCGTAGCTGTCTTTTAAGCTACAATGGCATCAGCAAATTTGAGATGCGCAGTCGAGTCATGGCTCTGGGCTATTCAGAAATTTACGCATACATACTCCGAGAGCATCCGAACATTTCTTACACATTGTCAGAAAGCAATTTGATTGACCAAAATCGATCGAGAAGAGTGACCTAACTTAAAAAAACACAACATTCAAAGCTGTCTAAACTGCTTATTAAGTCTTCGTTCGTTAACACGTTGACTGCAATGTAGGTCATCGGTGCCCTACACGGCGCCCTCAGTTAATTATGTCGATTTTTCTCTTCGATCTTATTACTAAAACGCCGGAATATCTAGTAGACTCTGGGAAAGACGAATCTGAAGATTTTAAAAATGAATCTATTCCTAAGAGGCCTAAAAGACAAAAAATTGCAAAGAACGCAAAGTCAGGCAATCCAGACGCTTAGTAACAGAAATCAAAATAATTACTTGAGTGCGTCGCGTAGGGCACCGGTGACGTACACGCAAGTTAACGTGTTAAGATCATTGCATACTCTTGTATTATTTATCGTTATCGGACAAAAGACAACACCTCGCAGACAGTTCTGTGGCAAAGCAGCGTAATGGCTTGTGGCGCTTCATATCACCGAAGACCAGAGATAAGAGTAGACAAGAGCCTTTGAATAAAACGAAACGCATTACCGTTTAATAAAACTGCTATGGGTCAGCAGGTCGCGCCACAGAATGGGCAACCAAGAGTAAATAAATTTTGCAACTCTTAGAAAATACGACTGAAACCGAAATTAGCTCTTGATACAAAGCATGCTTGCAGTCAACTTGTTTTCAATATAAACGCCTTCTTTTATACGATGGAAGAGTTTATAAATTTGAAAACGTATAACAGAACCTTGCCTATTTTAATTTAGTCAAAACACTCAAATAACGAAACTTTTTTGTTTAACTAATTTAATAGAAAGGTCAATATTTTTATTATGTTTTACAATAGAAATGCTAAACGCCATAGAATTTAATGTTTCAGAGATTAAATTAGTACTAAGCTAGTTTTTAATGAGGCACCCACCCAATAGCTAATACACAATTTCGTGAATACTGATTTTAAACTGACAATAATATTTCCAATCTAAGGAAGCTTAATTTATGTTCTCACACTTAATATAATTAAGTTTTATCTATTCATTATTAATATTTTTTATCTTTATTATCGCATCACCAGATGGTATCGTCCCGAGGCACTGTGAAGATTAACAATAGTAAAATAATTTCGTCCATCATACATTACAAAATATAATAATACAACACAGATACAGCTTTCAACGGATCACGACTCGAAAAAAAAAAACCAGATTGAAAATGATTTTTGAAATATTTCTTTGCAGACACATACAACTGGAGTGCTTTAGATAATATAATGTTTACCATCTTATATTAATTATTGCATTTAGAATAATAATAATAATATGAGATCAGATACAACTAGATCTGGTTAAGAATTAAACACATCGAAACGGAATATCTTATAATTTAGGTAGAAAACAACTATTTAAAATTTAATTACTCCAGTTTGTAAGTTCAACCCGACACGTGTGTATGTGGTAAATTTAAATCGAATTAGATAAAGTTTACATGGTCTCACTTCACTAGGCACGTGTTCCGCTAAATGATCTCTACAATATTGTAAATATAATCCCGAAACACGATATACAAAATGACTAAATTGTATTTACGTGCTGCTAACAAATATATACCGTTTATTTATGTTTAAATATATATTTCATTATTATAACAATGTTACTATAAGTATTACATTCGTGCTGGAAGTTATGACAGGTGTAACGATAATAATAGAATGTATAGTTTATAACAACGTGAACAAAACACAATTAAAAATGAATACGTTCGTACAATAAGAATTGTGACGTCACAGTACAAACTTTTTCAATTGTGTTAACTCGTATTATAAGACATGAGACGCTGTTAAAAAGTTGAAACTTTTATTATATTATTTAAAAAAAAATTAAATAAGAAATTTCGACACGTTTACAAGCTGGTTCTAGATCTCTATTCATACTAAACCCGTGCGCTATAGCTTCGTGGATGCTGATGACTATATCACGATGAAGTTTAAATATTCATGTTCACTTCACAAGTAATCATTCTGGTGAACACTTTAAATGTTTATTATTTTAAAGAATCCAAGAGCAATTACATATCTTGATCGGACATAATAAAATGCAAAATATACATTAATTCTAAGCCTACTTCAAAGTTTATTGCTGAATGGAAGTTCTTAATAGAGAAAGTAAACTGTGGCACCCACCACTCAAACATTTAGTAGTCTGAATAAAGAATCGATAATCGGTGATGTTACGATTATCCCGATATAGCGAAAACAAATCTGAATAAAATTGTCGGCAACCGAGAACGAAATCTACGTCCCTCCAAATTAAAGCAGAGAAAGCAGGTAATTAAGCAAAACAACAACAAAAACAAATACAGCGTCACGGATCCTGTGTAAACCAAGTTCATCCAAGATCGTGAGCCGCACATAGAAACTTTGACCGAAAACGTAAGCTGCCTTGCGAGAGGGATGCATCGGGAGTGTCGTAAGAGCGGTATCTGTGAGGTGTTGCCAGGTGACCGCGGGGCCTGGGGGCTGTTCACATGAAGAACTTGCCAATAATGATGCCGATGATGGCCATGCATATTGCGGTGACGACCCACGGCATAATCGTGACTTGCGTCGACTTCTCCGGACCGTAAGAGTGAGGACGCGAGACGCGCCCGTCCCCGCCTGCCGACTGACGCAAGCGCAGTAACTCCTCCTGCAACCAATGATATTTATCGATGCACAACGTTATCTCTCATTAGCCACGCAGTCGAAACCAGCAACTAATATTAAATTTTTTATTTATGCTCAAAATTTTACAGTGTAACGCAATTCGCATAGGGACTAAGCATATTATCAAACAAATTTCGATTTTATTTTGAACTATAATAATGTGGAATCTCATAGTCAATTACCTAAGCTTTTCTCGAAATTTGCATTATTCAGATTTAGGGATTTTTGTTAAGTGTTTAATTATTTTTAATTTCATAATGTGATTGTAAGATATATAGCGTGTTCGTAAATTCAGCCGATTCAAAAGCATAACATTACCGCTTGCATTGAATTTACATCTTGATCAAAATACTATTCATATCCTCAAATAAGGTGGTTTTTTATTTTATTTGAGATAAATATTGTTTCAAAGTGAATAATGGTTTGTGGAAACCCATTAGAACCAAGTGGACAGTGTGAACTCATTTACCTTTTATTAGGTTACAAAAAAAACTGAGTAATGTTTAGGGAGTTACTATTTTAAATATATCAATCAGTAAACTAGAAACACATAGTGTGAATGCTCATTATTATATATTGAAATAAAGTCTAAATTTATTTTTCGTACTTCATTATTAATAAAAATTTAAAGCGTTTATTACTTTTGTGTTGAACTGTTCCTTAAAGAACTACATATCTCATTTTTAACATAGTACATATTATTATGTGCTTGAATAATTTTATATTACTATCATTAGTGAATGTCACATTTATCTCATTAAAATTAAAATTTGCGGCAAAAATGAGCTTTATACCAACGCGTATAACTATGTAAGACTACCACTGTAAATTCTATTGGGTTTTCATATTGGTATTTGATGATTGCATTATCTGTTTCGAGTGTAACAAAACAAAAGGGTCCCGGTAAAAGCCATACTGGTGAATGAAGAAATTATTTAAAGCTATTGTAATTTATTTAAATAAGTGACGGTTTTATTTCGCGCAATTTTAATTTCAGTTTTCTCCATTGACGCGGTTTCGAGTTCACCTGCATACTAAAATTTATGTTACATATTGTTGAACATTTGTCCATAGGTTAATTTTATTCAAAACGTCCCATAAAATATTTGTGTTGTATTTTATTTATTTCTCAGCAATTTTACAAACATTTTCTCTGTATGTTTTTTTTTTGCTATCTGATATATTTGTTTTAATGATAAGTATTGAAATTTAAAATTTCGGTATTTAAAAAAGTATGTTTATATTCAAAAATAATTTTGTGTGTTTTAGTTTAGTAGGTAGTTATGCAGTTTTATTTAATCTAATCAGTGCATAAAAATACCAACAAGTATAATAATAGCGTTTACGAGTGTTTTTTTATTGCTTTAGTAATTTAGGACAATACATTAAACTTGTTTAAGTGCAGGAGAACTCATATACACACAATTTAAAAACAATTAACTGTTCGCGTGGAGGAGCAATAGCGGTTACAATGTCGTCCAATCTATGCTTCCAATTCATTTTCTAGACAAATTGATAAACATCTCCAACGTACAGATCCACTTTAAGTCTATCAATTTATCGCCTCTTCTAAAGATTGTTTCTTATTAAATACAACATACATACAATACATTCGCTGTTGCAATCAATCTAAAACATTCGCCTGTAAAATACATCAAAGCGAGGGCTAGTTCATATGCAGGTAGGTACACACATACAATAATAGGCAACCAAAAAATAATAAATATGAATAAACATAAAAACTCACTTTTAATTGCAGGTTTTCATGTCTTAACTTGCTTTCCTCTTCTCTCAAATGTATTACTTCTAAAGTCGCCTTTTGCAGATCGCTTTCAACGTTTTCAGACTTGGTATTAGTCTGGAAGGACAGAATAGCAGAAAAAAATTAAGTAAACTAAAGGAACGTGGATGGAAATAATACGAAAACGTATTATGAAAAGTGGAAATAAATGAACTACATGCACGAGAGTCTCTATTGTGACTAGAGTTGAGAAGATTAACAAAAAATAATAAAGGAGAAGGAATATTGAAAAAGTAACAAAAAAAATGAAATAAAAATAGTGTGGCATGATTATGTTTTGCACGAAAAATGTTTTGAATTGCAAGTTTTTCATGAAGAGGTGATCGTGGAAGTTAAGACACGAAGTTGAATTATTTTTTTATACAAAATACATGAAATACAAATAAAACCCTTCACCTATAAAATAACATTATAAATAAAACTATTTAGTTATGTACCGTTTTTAGGTTTATTGATGCAACAGGGTGATCATCATCCTTATTTTTATCTTCATGCTGGATGAGATCTTTCACGGCGTCCTGTAAGACAACGTAGATGACACACCAAGCTCGAACTCACCATTTTCCCGCTAAATATTGGGTTCCGTATCCGACATTGTCACCGGCAGACTTTTAAATGTATAATGACAATGAATGTTGCTCCGATATAGAAATATCCTTCAGTATAAAAAATTCAAGGAAACAAAATAAAAATAAAAATCGAAAAAGCTCACAAGTAACGTCGATCGTATAATAATTACGTTTAGAATCATGCATGTATAGCAAGCAGACTGGGATCCATTGAATACAAACTATTACTAGTGACAACGAAAACATGATATATATATACGTTCAATTTACTAAGACGTACCTTAGCGGCAGGCTTAGCGTCTTCTGCGACTGCAACTCTTTTCTTGGTGACATCGTTCTGGGCTGCATTATCGCCAGAATCCTGTGAATAAATTTAATGATCAAACAAAATTATCTATACGAATATTATAAAGAGGAAAGATTTGTTTGTTTGGTTTGTATTGAATAGGCTAAACTTCGAAACTACTGAACCGATTTGAAAAATTCTTTCACTGTTTGGAAGCTACACTATTCCCGAGTGACATAAACTATAATTTTTTTTGAAAAAAAATAATAGGGATCCTTACTAAAAATCCAATAATGTAGCCCAAGGTCTAAAAAATTTTTCTAAAATATCCTTTACATCGCGTGCTCTGCGAAAACTATTGATGGTAGAATAAAATAATGTACTACGACTTTGTAGAACACATTATTATTTACAAAAAGTGTCGCGACAGCATATGTCTAACTATTATAGTTATGTCGCAATAAGTGTTCTTTTATTTAAAAAAATAAAAAAATGTCAAATATCGTTAAAATTTTTGTTAAAGACTCGAGCGCAGCCGGAGCGCTGCTTGTTTAGAATAAAAATAAGTTAATTTAGATTATATATTTTATGATACCGTCAAATTCGTTTTGTTGAAATTTAAAAAAATCACTTACGTTAAGATTAGTGCCACGCGGAGTTTCAAAGACACACTTTAGCTTGTAGTCCATCAGTTGCTCGGGGCTTATCTCCTTCCACTGTAACAGATATATTAATTTATTATTAGCACCTAGCTAAAGTAAATCAGAGCGTATTCTATGGTCTGGCGGTGGGTTAATTGTTTTAGAATTAACGATTCATACTTATGACTTCATACGTCACGTTCACGCGTAAATTTATGAGAACAAAAATACATACACGCAAATTCAATGGTATTTGTATTTTCGCTACTTGTCGTAACACGTCAAGGATGTTCTTCCTGTACGTCATAACATACATTACGTAAGGTAAACATTTAACAGATACATTTGACATCACAGCTTATATGTATATTATTAACTTTTCCTATAAAATTGTAAATTTTTTAGTGAAACATACCACTTGATCAATGTTGGTTTTTCCTTCTGGAGCTATTACACTTTGGACCATAAATTTATGCTTGTGGTTTTCATTGGGGTCCAAATATACAGGTTGCGGAGTAACTGAAATTTATTCATAAGATTAATCAATTAATCACAGTCACAGTAAATATTTTGTAGAAATTGTGTTGAAACTTACTTGCGATTTCTTGTTTCGAATTTGGCGCCAGAACTCCAGAATTGGGACGCACGCAATATTTCTTTGGTGCTGTTGTTTTGATCTTGAATAGCACTGTATCGTTTGTCGGGTTCGTTAGTCTCATGTAGGTTGTGCAACCATGCTCAAAGAGCCCTGAGAAATTAACTAAAATAATCAATTATATGATTATGTTCATTCACAAAAAGAACCAATATATAAATAGAAAACGAAAACTAGTTTTCCCTATACCAGTGAATACACATATATATATATTTGAATATATATAATATAATATAGAGGCTTAGCATCTAGATACACATTAAACAGTGATTACCACACAAATATTTGCCCATAGTATATTGAAATATACAGTAATATGGTATTCTAGTACAGTATATGATTCTAATAAATAATATTAATAAAATTATAGTTACTAATATTTATTGTGATACTGTATCAATGGATAAAAATAAACTCCCCATTACTATGAATGAATTATTTTACTAAAGCTTGATTGCCAGATTTTAGAATAATAGTAATTTAAATATGTTACTAATAATAGTCTTTGATATTCGAAATATTTTTATTTATTTATTGCCAATATCACAGTCCCAAAAGTATCCATTTAGTTTGTTGTACATAGACCCTGATGTGAACTCAGGCAACAAGAGAGATGTGAGGTTCTAGATGGGATGCACTACTCAACAATATGGGCATTACAGCATACTTCAACATTCAAAATACTAGTTAGCACCCCTGACAATTGTGTCGAGGGTCGTGTTGAGCAAACTTGTTTGCTCTTTGTCTAAGTGTTTATTATCTGTATTTGTATATATTTAAAAACAGGTAACCATGTTTGTCAGTCTCTGGTACCCATAGCATAGGAAATCCTAAGTCGGAGCCGCATGACCATGCATAATTTGTTCCCAGTTTTTATTTAAAATATTATTAAATGTTTTTAGTTTATAAAATAAAATATTTTAATTTAGGTACAAGTTACAAACAGTAATCCAGTTTCAAACTAGGACTTCCTGTACTATGGCACTCAGAGACTGATTTAGATACTAATTTATCTAAATATATAGATATTCATCACTGAGAAAAATATACATAATTTCCAAAAAAAAAACTCAATATGTTTTATTTCTATTGCCTTTGTAGGCAGAACATCTGGCCCACATGGTGGTGAGTGGTTAACGTCCAAATTGGTCAGCAATGTCTAGGGCAAAATCAAGTTCCTACATACAAATTTAACTTATTATCAGCCATTGTGTATTAAGTCTAGGGAAATTGTTATCAATGTTTATTCTTCTGACTACAAATACACAATATTCCTGCCTATTAGAACTGATGCTTGCAAAACAGATACAAGTATCTTAATTAATGAAAAAATAAACAAAGAAACTACAAGTTTAAGGTAATGACTACTACAAACACATTAACGTTATGTTTTGTCATTTTACCCATTAGCTGTTAACTATTAGTCTAATTAAGAGACCTATATACATACAATTATTTTACTATGAATCAATAATATTACTGATAAAATTAATTAGTCAAGATTACAATGATATAATATATATATATGAATTTGCACAAAATAAGCTAAGAGTTTTCAGATTATACAGCAAAAAAATTTAAAGGTCTATTGCTAAATAATTCATGTAAATTCTTAAGTTATTTTGTATATGTTTAAAATGAAACTACATTTACTGTGAATTTCTATCCCCGATTCACTAGGCTTACACGCTAAAATGTACTAAACACGCTTAAATTGTACTAAAAATATGCATAGCTGTGCAATGAAGATATGAAACAACAACAAGCTTGTCGTCATAGTAATATGTTATACCTGTGATTGTAACAGCAATGTAATGTCCTGTAAACTAAATAGCTAGTATAAAAAAAGATCTGGTTTTAATGTGTTCATTCTCACTTTCTATTCATACAAACGTAAAGTTTTATAGTTTATAAATGAAAACTTGTTTTACTTCAATAAAATACATACAACTTAAATATTAGTCAAAGGTCAAAGTTGAAATATAGTGACAAATTATAACTGCATTTAGAATATAAATAAGTTACCAGTTTTTAGTGTTGCCTCTTTCCTAACAGTAGTCTTTTTGGTTGCTATGTATGTTTTTTCATCACATTTACAATCATATTAAAATTAACTAAGAATAGATAGTCTTATCTGATACTACTACTGACTAGACATTCATTTTGTTTCATGTAATAATTTCAAAAATTTCAGTCCCTATTTAAATTATGTATATTCAAGAGCATCAGATTTAAAAAAAATACCAACATCACTAGTTTATTTTGTTTAAATACCTAACACTTTCTAAGATACTTACTTTTCAATGAAACAGCCTGTACTAATATAATTAAATACAAAGCGTATGTATCGCATATTATAGCTAAGCCATTTATGTTTGTGAAAATGATCTCCAGGAACCACAGATATATTAATATGACTAGGACTCATTTAAAGTTGATAATATTAGTAATCGGAATAAATACATACTCTACTTGGATAATATACAAAAGATAATGAAAAAACCGGAACTTAACAAAAAGCCGATATCTGGAAATAGAAACTCCATTTGTCAGCATCTAGCTAACGACCTATGTCTGCTTCACAAGTTTCAATGCGGCGATTAATAGCGTAAAGTTAATCAAACATTATGATTCTCACCTTTAAATTTTAATTCATTTTGTGGTTCGATAGTTAGCACTTGGTTAGGCATTTTATTGTACTATAAGCACAGTATCTCGTTGGCAAAATTTAACAGATTGAGAAAAAATATCTTTCCGCGATGTCGGCCAAAGCGAACGAGAATTGTGGAATGACGAATAGACATGCGCAGAGCACTGCGCATGCGTTGTCTCTTTCCTTTCGAAGGCGTATATTCTGAGAGCTATTTGTATTTTATGAATAGAAATCAAAAAATCACAATTAATGTAGGCAAAGGTGAAATGAACTAAATATGCGCAATAAGTTTCTAGTAAATATTTTTAGGCAATATTTTTTTTTGTAAATTATGAAAACTAAGAAGTAATTTCTATATTTTTAAAAGGTTTTCAGAATAGTTACATTCAATATAGATCTGTTTTGTGACGTCTACGATTTCACTGCGTGCGCAATCTTTTCAATTTCCTACTAAATCCATTGAAACTATAGAACTTAATTATTTCTAGATTAGGTCGAACCGTTCCTAGTTCTTTTTATGTTGGTAGAAGTCTTGTAGGCATATGAAAATTAAATGCCGCAGAGAATGACGATATAAAAGAAAATATGAACTATTTAAAGTAAATTGATCTTTAGAGTTTAATAATCTTTCACTACCAGTTAGTAAGTGTAAGTGATTATGTTCTCTTTGTTATTGAACCAGGTTAAAAACTGCTAAGTAACTAATTGGAGAATAATAGTTAGTAATGAATATACTAATTTGAATATACTAATTTGAATGTCTAGTTACCATCGTAATAATGGTACTACAATATTTCTTCCTAGTTGTAGGTAGTAAAATTCTACACGACCAGGAGAAGAAAAACAGGCACTACCTACAACATTTAAAAAAAATACATGTCTCAAATAAAGAAAAGTTATTTAGTTATAACAATACTGTTGCTTGGTCACATGCTAGGAATACCAAGCAGTATTAGAGTGTCGAAAGACATAAAGAATACGTTCATGAAACTGACTAGATTAACAAACCCTACAAAACTTGACGGACTGTATTTGACTTAGTTTTAATCTAATTTTACATAATATATTTCATATTGCTATGTTAATATGATTTTGATATATAAATTCAATTTTTATTTTATAATTACTTATTTAGCTTAAATTTAGTTATCTGTGCTTAAAGATCGTTGAATTTTTAAGCTATTGCATAGATTTTATCGCGGGCCTTGAGCACGGCGATCGAATCATGAAATTCCGTAACGAAAAAAACCTTACACCCCTCACTCCGCCTACCATGTAGCTCGCGTTCAACACATTCATACGTTGCGCTTGTGTAGTGTTTGTGAATAAGCGCGTGGCGTGACGTCACACTGCATGCGCATGTGTGTGCATCATGAAATTATTGATTTCTTTTTTATTTATTTAGACATATGATTTTTTTAAATTTTGTACCAGTGATTGGATTCTTTGCATAAGCCGACTTCTTGAACTACTTTATACTTTTTTCTTTGCATAGATGGGTGGACGAGCTCACGGCCCACCTGATGTTAAGTGGTTACTGGAGCCTAGATACATTTACAACTTTTTTTTGTTTGTTTTATTGTATAGATGGGTGGACGAGCTCACGGCCCACCTGATGTTAAGTGGTTACTGGAGCCCAGATACATTTACAACCTTTTTGTTGTTTGTTTTATTGCATAGATGGGCGAACGAGCTCACAGTTTTCTTTTATATCGTTCCCTCACTACTGAGGATCGCGACCACATGCGATGTACTTCCAATGCACCCGATCATGGGTGGCATGGACTGCATGGTACAGACTACCACCGAGTGCTTCTCTTGCTAGATCTGACCATCTGGCTGGTGTTCTGCCCAACACAACTCACAGCCTACCTGATGTTAATTGGTTACTGGAGCCCAGATACATTTACAACTTCTTTTTTAAGCTATTGCATAGCTTCTATCGCGGGCCTTGAGCGCGGCGACTGAATCAAGAAACTCCGTAACGAAAATAACCGGACACCCCCACTACGCCTACTATGTAGCTCGCGTTCAACACATTCACACGTTGCGTTGGTGTAGTGTTTGTGAATAAGCATGCATGCATGCGCATGCACTGCATGCGCATCATGAAAAGTCTGCCCATCTCTCTCTCACGCGGTCTAGCTTAGGAGTGTGAAGGGGACAGTTAAGGTTTTGCTTTTGTTAATGTTTATAAATATAGCGTGGTCTTATTTTTATTATTATTTTAATATTAAATTATTATTGTCTAATTGTAATTGCATAAGTTGATAAAAAATGCTTTGCAATAGCTTTACTGCAGCAGTCCCCGAGTGCCACACGTCTTTTTTTTAATTGTGTTCGAGGAATAGCCAAATTTTCGAAATAAATAAATGTATCTTCAAAATAAATAAATATGTTTAGATTATATTATTTGCATCACTAGGAAATCGGAGCAACGAGAAGTGGGGCTTTCCAAAGGTTATGAAACTACATAATCTGGGTTTTACTGAGAGTCATGCAGAAGTCCAATTTTCTAATTGTGATACTTAGAAAACTTAAGAAGTTTGATATTTAACACTCTCAGGTAGTTTTGAGCTCATCAAACTACCTGGGGCGATTGCGTTCATCCACAGTGCGTTTCCAGATATCTTTTTTGCCACGTACCATCGGGCTTGGGAATAAGCTTCCCTCTGCGGTGATTCCCAAGCGCTTTGACATGTCCTTCTTCAAACGAGGCCAGTGGAGAGTATTAAACGGTAGGCAGAGGCTTGGCTCTGTCCCTGGTATTGCTGACGTCCATGAGCGACGGTGACCACTCACTATTAGGTGGGCCACACCCTCGTCTGCCTACACTGGCAATAAAAAAAAACTAAATTGATATTACAACTTACAGTGCTCGCAGTGCATATTAGAACACAGCCCAAATGTGGTAGCTTAAGGCGCTGGTTTTTAAATCTTTCCACTTCCTACAACGGTGCCAGTGCCACCTTAATTGGCTTTCTTTCGGTGGGAGTTTTTTAATATACAGAGATGGTATTCCTTACACCGGTCACTCACATGCGCACGAATACGCAAACCCACAAGTGTAGGACAACATTTGCGAATGATTATGCAAAGTTTTCGCTGCATTCGTGATTTTCCAACCTGTGTCGGTTTTTTAACAGACATCAAAGCGCGCGAACCTCGAACCTTCGCGTAGTCTCCCACACATTCGCTTGCCCAGTTGCGCCGACGATTGCGAAGGTAACGGATGTATACTATACGCCATTTTCATAGTTCGTAACGTTTACTGTGTAGCGTATCTTCATCAAAAGAAATCCCATAAAAACAGCATGGCTGTTAATGATGTCTGGGAAAGAATTAAAAACTCTTTTTCTCTTCAATGTTCTATTGACGAATTAAAAAGGAGGAGAAATTCGTGAGACATTCGTAAACAAGTGTAGGAGGAAGCGCAAACGGGTTCGCAAATTGAGTATGCGAACCCATTTGCACAGCCGCTAGGTTTGCGAATGAATGTTTGACGGCCCTTCACATGCGCGCA